AGAGAGAGAGAGAGAGAGAGAGAGAGAGAGAGAGAGAGAGAGAGAGAAGAGAGGAAAAAAACTTACTACGCCAATCAAGTAAACAATCTATGATCACCGTTTGTTGCGCTAATACTATTTATTACATAAGCAGAAAAACATGCCTTTATTGCGCGCGCGCCAGCACTCACGCTATCCACACACACTCAACACGCGAATGGGCGCGCGCATAACGCTCACACACACACACACACCTCAAATGCATGTGATCGTAAATGTTTTGTTGCACCATTTCACTAGAAAAGAAAATACACACCAGATTAAGAGAGTGTGTGTGCAGTGGAATTGTGTGCTTTAGCGCGCGCACCAAATGTTTACAGAAAAAAATACACAGATAGATACTTCAGCATTTACAACTCACTAGATCACATTTCCCTTCGCATTCGCCAAACAAAGCAGGAAAACAAAAACCAAAATGAAAAGAGGAAAGAAAAAGCAACACGGCGAACGAACCAAATATAAAAGAAAAAAAAAACGGTTTCATGAGCTGTGCGCATATACACACGTTTTGCTCTATGTGCGACGAGTCTAACTGTTTCATCGTACCGTATGTACGTATGAATCTTGTGCTGCTGCTGCTGCTGTCTCACACACAAAACATCAACACACTGAGCCAACATTTACACACGTTCGATAGAACAGCAATGCAACAACAAAACATAAGAACCAATTGTATGATGATAAAATTGCATCGATAAGAAAAGTATGGAAAAAAAATTACGCCATCGATGCGAATGTAAGTGAGCGGAGAGAGAGAGAGAGAGAGAGAGAGAGAGAGAGAGAGCGAGAGAGCATAGGCAACGTGAAAGAATACAATAACAATGCCCACAAAATTACAGTTCATTTTTGCCGATTTGCAAAGAAATGCAACAAAGAAACCAAAACAGAACCGATCATCTGTGTGCAGTGCAGTGTATCGCAGTCCAGCAACTGTACCGGGCCGATTTTTCTAGCGAGATTTATGAAAATATTCTGGAATCGGAATTAACGAATTGAGAGAGAGAGAGAGAGAGAGAGATGAGAAAAAAGAAAGGATGAAAATGAGCCAAGGAAGGAACATTTCATCGCAAGAACAATACACATAGTAAGAAAAGCACGATACGCCATAAACACTATCATTAAAATAACCGAACCGCTTTCTGCTTTTTGGCGAAGTTCGGCCATAAAGCAACAATAGCACTGCTCCACTCAACGCATACCCATAAATCATGCAATCTTAAAATAGCACTTATTTTCATTGTCAAAAATGGCCTTTTTGCTTGTATTTCCATCGGCATTACTTAATTTAGTTGGTTTGCGGAATGGCGCGTTTAGCATTTTTGTATTTTGAATAACCCATTGAAGAAACGAGCAGTGCATGCAAAGAGATGAGCATTTTTAATTCAAAAATTTACATCGGTCATTGAACCGGATTGCGAATGTTCGGCGTGTACAATGATCGCGTACGTTAAAATGCACATCGCAGTACGCTCTCTCTCTCCCTCCCTCTCTCTCTCTCTCTCTCTCTCTCTCTCTCTCTCTCTCCGTGATTTCGTATGTGTTGCAATGTGTGCACACTCTTTGCACCGATTTATCCACACTTGTGCAGAGTGTACATGTTGAGCGACGAAAAAAAGGTTATCGTTCCCGAAAATACTCAATTATCTTGGGCATCAATTATTTCGTCGATGAAGATTGAACATTTGTTTTCATCGCTTTTTCACAGGAATGCGTCAAATGCATTTGTTTTGATTCTGACAACTTTTTAAAATGATCTCCATTTATGATTTGATCATGATATTTTTAGAAGTGTTTGTCGCTGCTTCGCATCGAAGAACAGTGTGCAATGTGCATAGTTTCGAAATTGGCAATTCAAATTTCTACAGAATAGACATTGGACGAATGTGTACTGTTGCCAATTTGCATTCGGTAAACTGCATTTGCAATTGGATTTTCACCATTTTCTTCATCATCATCATCATCATGCTACTTCAGCGGTAGCATTTTCGAGTCCAAGCTCGCCAATTTGCGGACCGACTTTCAATCTACATTTATATACGAACGCTTCGAACTGTGCACGCTGATTGTGTGTGCGTTTTGCACGACTTTATTTTAAAGGTTTGTCGTTTTTTGCAACACGTACAATCTCAATTGGCAGTTCGGTTTTTTTGCTGCTGCTGCTGTTGCTGTTGTCGATTTTCCCTCTTCTCTTCTACAGCAAAGTGCATATAGAGTGATGAGATTGTGCATTCATCGTGAGTGCACAGTTAAAATTTCACTCCTCAATGCAATGCACACAATAAATAAGCACAAATGAAAATAAAAACGAAAAGAAAAGAGCGAAAAAAAGTCAATACTTTTCTCTTCCTCATAACTATCAGCATCATTTGTTTTGTGCTGCGGACTTTGCGGATATAAGATCGATGCAAGTAGAAAAAAATTCAAACACACACACATACACAGCATCGACAACATCAGTATTATCATGAGATTCTTCTTGTTCTCTTTTTTCATTTTCCTTCCTCTGTTTGTTTATTCAATATGCATCGTCTTTTTTTCGGGATCTTCTCTCTGTGGCTCTGGTATCACATACACCGAAAAACAACAACACCAACAAATTTGCCTTCAGTTTTCAACAGGCTTCCTTCTGGTTTTGCTGCTGCCTTTCGTCTCCTGTGCGCATCGTATCACCAATCTTATGCAGCAACGAAAATAAACTGACCATTTCTGGTTTAGAGCTGATTTTTTTTCACTTCTTCTTTCTCATCTGCGTATCTTTGCGATGTGCACAGTAGATTTTTTGGTCATGAAATCTGGCAAAATCGCAAATACAGAACCGTGTTATTAAATTCAATTGGCCCGGAAGCCAGAATTGAACTTTTTTTTTCTGTTGCGCCTGCGGTTCCCTCAAAATCAAATTGATTTCCAAATGTTATCTTTGATTTTGGTTTCAAATATAATCAATTTTATTTGCTTCTCATCCATTAATTTCGGTCGTGTTGTTCTCAGATATTTTATGGCAATTTTATGTTTAACGTGTCTCAATATGCAGTGAAGGTTTCTTTTTTTCACTTGGATTTTGCCATTGTCTTCGGTATGTACCTGTTGAATGGTAGACGGTACATGACTGAACACATCCAAAGGATACAATAATTCCGCAACATCTCCGTTGTGACGCAATCATAAAGAGACGACCATAATTTGATGGCAATTGGCGAAAATGATCGTTCTCATGCACAACCAGCCGAAGAGAAAACAAAAAATGTTGTCGTTGAAATGGAAAAGAAAATGTTCTTTGGTCAGTTGTTGTGGTTGGAAGTGAACGTGAAACGTGCGCGAGCGGCTGCATGCGCCGCCTAAGTGCGTCAACTGGGTTCTGTCGAGAATTATGTAAAAAGTCAGGAGAATCGAATGCAAGCAAGCACAAGAAGCAACACAACACACGAAATGAAGACGAAAAAAAAATGTGCTGAAAGTGATATCTCGCTCTCTTTCTCTATCCCTTTGTTTGTGGCGATAATTTCACATGCACACAATCACGTAAAACGCGTCTAACGTACTCTCTTTTCTCTCTTTCTCCTTTTCTTGGTCTCGATCTCTCGCGTACAGAGAATGTCAATCGGTGTGTGAGAGAGAGAGACTCTGTCTCTCACTCTCAAGAACACAGCTCAAGTCTTTGTGTTATTGCACGTTACACATTTGTGTGCGAGATTAAGAAATCGAAGAATAATATCACCAAAATGAAATGAGAAGAAAACTTTAAGTACGGTTTGCAGTTATTGCGCGTATGTGATTACAATATATTGTCCGCCAAGGGAACGGTTAAGAGAACAGCAATAGCAGCAGCAGCAACAGCCATATACCAGTAACAACATCGTAACAAACGCGCGCGATTCATACTCACTCTCTTCGGTACATAGATATGCGAGCATTTGCGATGGTATTTGTGTTTAGTTCTTACTCGATTATCTGAAAAACACAGAACTTTCTTGGCCGATCGAATTTTCGCGCTGTTTGCTGTGTAGTAAAGTTATGATACCAGCTGAGTGATGATCCATCCTCGATGGTGCGTTGTTCATTGTCTGCTGCTCAATCCCAACGGAACTATATTTGGCATTCAATTTTATTTTTAACAGAACAGCGATCGTTGTCGTTCGATAAATATTCGTGCGCGCTCCATTCTCTCTCTGTTTTGATAACAAATAAATCAATTATTGTGAATCAGTTCTAGTTTTTTTTTACTTTTTTTCTCTGTGTGTGTATGTGTGAATTTGTGGATCATCATCACAATTGCTAGACAAATTAAGTTTGTTTGGTTTTTCTCTGTATTTTTGATTTTAGCGGAAAAATTTAATTCTTCAATCAGAAACCAGTGATAAAAAAAGAAATCGTTCAAATATGACACCGATAAATTTTTCTAGTGAAATAACAATATTGCTTGAATCGGTTTTGAATGAAGTGCCGTGAACATGGAGTTTACGATAAAACCATATAGAGACACTGACGAGAAGGAAGACTCAACAATCTAAGTGCGGTTTTGCAAACATCTTCGTTGGCGGAACTGACTTCGTCGAATGTTTTCGTTTTTCTTTTAAATTCTGATTCTGCGTCACGTTTGCTTAATGATGCGCGGTTGTTGACAAGAAGAGAATATTTCGAGAGAAGCGCAGTGGGAAATTAGGATTTAAAAAAAAATTCAAATTTCAAGGCGTCATTCGTCATTCTTCGAATCAAAAGAAGAATTTCAAAAATTATTGAAATTTCTGCTTAACGTTTTTTCGGGATCGCTATTTTCAGCGTCGATGAAAGAAAACAATGGACATATTTCACATTGAAACGGCATCGTTAGGCACAACACGAACCAATGGTGTAATCATTGACGACGTCACAAATGATCAAATACCGCAAGTTAGTTTCGACGGTGGTCCCGAATTCAATTTGAATTTTTTCGACAGTCCCGACGATTCAAACACTGGCTACAGTGATGATCCAGGTTCTGTTGATTCAACGATCGGTATATCCGTATCGCCGCCACCACAACCATTGACCACATCCACCACCACCACCACCACCACCACCAACCGTAGTGCATCGTCTACACCACAGACAACATTCACAACACCAACGAATTTTCCATGCATTGGTATGTTCTCCCCGTCTCTGTCACTGATTTAGAAATTCATTAAAAAGACTTAACACGTTGCTTTTTCAAAACGGCGTTGCTATTTCAACCATAATGCAAAACAACAACCAGCACCAAGTTACTAATGCTCGTTTCGATAAATGCACTCTGATCAATTCTCAAAGTAACAAGTCAAGGGCCTGAATCACTGAAGATGAAAACAAATCGCTTGTTTGGAGTATAATACAAAACGCTTGTTGATGGAATACAAAAAAAAATGAAGAAAGAGTAATAAAAAAAAATTGCATCGATTTTGAACGCATTTCGTTTGTTGAAAGCAACACAAAATTATGAGACGAAATCGGGTATTCGTTGTTTTTTTTGTTGTTATTTTTTCGCTTTAGTTTCGGATGCACATTTTACTTGCTTGTGCAAATATACGCTGACACCAACATAACAAATCGCATTGCTACACAGTGAAAGAGACAGAAACACGCGGAGAGAGAGAGAGAGCACGCATACGTCATGTCCACAGTGATATCGATATGCACATATATATATATATATATATGTATAGTGCTAGCGCAATGTATAGCCCGCGAAGCAATGTATAACGTCATGTTCATTATATTCTTTACCGGGTTCAATAAACTTCATTTCGAATATAAAAAAAACACATCATTTCTCCGCTTTCGCTTTGTTTGTATGTTCAGTACACACATAAACATCTAAATACGTAACAAAGAGATAATGCGAAACTATTTGAACTTTCTCAATATGTACGTATGAAAATATGTTGATGCGGCTGCGGCTGGCTGCTGGCTGCTGTGCTCTTGTATAATAACGGCGCATGCAAAATTCTTTTCGATTATATTTTCTTTTCTTTTTTTCCCGTTGTTGTTGTTGTTGTTGTTGTTGTTGTCGTCGTCGTCATTGTCGTTGTAGTCGTTGTAGTCGTTGTTGCTTGTTCAACATATACTGAAAACATATTCATTGCTTATGTACAGCGCGAGAGAGCACAAATGTGATTCCCTTGCTGGATTTGCACTTAGACATAATTATCGCATAGAATGTCAATCGGCAATGTATTGCTTTTGGGCTTTTGTTATTTCTCTCGCACTCTCTCTCTCTCTCATATCTGGCTGGTTTTTGACAGTAAATTACAACATCTGACCAACAGTCGACCTTTTTTGTGCGATGTGAGCATTTCAACAGACAACAGATTGAACCATGCGAGAAAAAAAAACGAACGAAATAACACACAAAAACACAATGAGTTTGTCAAATTAACAGCCACACATTCTAGAAGTGAAAAAAACCTCCATACGGCACAACACGTTGATGTTTTCATTTTATGCCATCGCGAGTGTGTATTTCTCTCTCCCGAAACTTTTTACAACATTTTATGACTTCCTGATAATGCATTCTAATCGATTAATCGATTGGAACGTGAAACATTGAAGGTTCAATGTACCGCACCGTGTACGAATGAAAATTATATTCCGTGTTCGATTTCCTTTTGAAAAGAAAAAAATAATAATAATAAAACGGGAGGGCAAAGCATAATAGAAATGGAGATCGTGGTGCGATGGTGTTCATATTATTATGTATGTATAACGGCAAATAGTGGCAACGGTAAACTGCGAAAGGTTAAAACATAGTTCAATGCATTTGATTTGTATGCAACATGTACAAGAATATGTGAGCGCAAACGAGCCAATGAACAAGCAGACAAGCACAAGCGCACAAAAGAGCGCGCACGCACGCTCAAGCGATTTTCTCTCTGCACGATCTCGATTCCGAGCAAACCATTTAAAGATCATTTAAAGATGCAATCGTTATGATGCAATACCGATCAATGCTAGTAGCAACGTTTGATTTTGCAATTTTCTTTGATTCTTTGTGTCATCTGCTGCTCTGCTATGCTCGGCTCAGCTCGGCTCGGCTCGACTGGGCCCAGCGCAAAGTCGACTCGCAATCTTGCCATATTTGCAAACATTCGAGATGAAAACGATGATATACAATGCTGAGAATTGAATTGATCATAATTTTTCGTTTCAAATGCACTTTTTCTTATCATAAACCATCTAAATTTTGAATTGCCATAAATCTTGTTTTTTTTTTCTTCCGATTTTTCTCTTCCCCTCTCTGTGCAGATCAATCGTTCACCGGAACCGACAACAATTCCAACACTTCAAAAACGTTTGTGTCGTGCAAAGTGTGTGGAGATAAGGCTTCGGGGTATTTAACCTATACCAAACATTTCTGTTTGGCAACGTGTATCAATGATAATTTTCTTAATATTCTTCAATTTTCTGTGCTTTTTTCAGCTATCACTATGGTGTAACTTCATGTGAGGGATGCAAGGTAATTACTTTCTTTTTAGTCCACTCATTTCCAGCCATAGCTTAGTCTCAAATTGCCAAAAAATTGCTTTTAATTTTTGATGCATACCAAATTGGCTTTTTTTCTGCAGGGATTTTTCCGGCGTAGCATCCAGAAACAGATCGAATATCGGTGCTTGCGTGATGGTAAATGTTTGGTCATACGTTTGAATCGAAATCGTTGTCAATATTGTCGCTTTAGGAAATGTTTAGCGGTTGGGATGAGCCGGGACTGTAAGTGATTTGACATTTACATTTTCTTTTCGTTCAACCCGCCCGGTTTTTATTTTTTAATTTTCTTTCTAATTTTTCTCTGACGTTGATCGTTAATTGTGTTCCATCGTATGGAATTGGAAAAATTTAATTGAAAATAGAAAAAGGTACACACGATGGTACGTAGACCGATGAAAGGTAAACTGGATAATGTGTACAGATATGAACTAGTATTTGATATATATTAAACTAATAAATTAGAAGATTTAATCGCGATTTCCGGCATTTCGACTTTCGATTTTTATAGTCGTTGAAATTGCAATTGCAGTTGCAAACAAACACACACACGCACACACACGCACACACACACAAACACTGAGGCGAACGAGCCGAAGCGCATAAGCATGAGTGAGTGCCTCAAAGCAATTTGAAGTAGGAAAACTTTTCCAGCCGTATACCTAAATATTATGTGGATTAGAAAAAAAATGGCAACAACAACAAACCCACGCTTTCCGATCGCACAGGAACGTACAGAAAAAAGCAGCGCGCTCACATGAACTGCGCATAGCAAATCTTTTATAGAAACGTAAATGCCTAACTCGTTTCAGGTATTATGAAAGGCATGACGAATAATGTTTGCAATTACGAAAATGGTAAATAAAGCATGCCAAATAATAAATGAATTCAACATTTCAAATATCGGGCCCATTCTTTGGAATATATACTATGAAGAGGAACGAACAGTGTTCGTCGAACACACACCAACAAAAAAAAACACATCCATAAATCGATTGTCAAAAAAGTGTTTCCATTTGGCTTGGCATTTTATACCTCCAATCAATAATGAAAATTTTCCGATATCTGTCGGCAAACATGACAACCTTCGTTGGTAGTTTTGTTTGTTATCGGGGCCCAGTACATGAGATTGGTTGCACCAAGAAATATAACAAACATTAGCGAAACAGCGCACACATTGAGTGCGAGCGAACGGGCGAGCGGATTGAGCGCGAGCGCGCAACCGCCCGTCCAACAGACAAAACAGCAATTGCATACACACAGATTACGCTATCATGATATCATATGTAGTTGTGATACTTGTTGTTTCTATGATTGCAAAGGAAATTGCTAAAAATGCAATCAGCGTTCAAATACCTCCCCACACACTGTGTTAAACAAACGAGCAACAAACACACAAGCAACACAAAAAGCTCGCACTCTCTGTACAAACACTCAACTAGAGTTGAAGAATGAAAAGAAAAAAAACAACGACTTGCAATCACAACAATGCATTGCAGGCGCAAGCAGCACTGAGCTCACAATTCATACACACTCTATATACAAAAAGGAGAAAGTTTTTTTCGTTCGTCTGTTGCATTGACTTTATGCTTTTGTTATGACGATAAAATGAATGAACTGGACTACAAACTTATGCCCCCATATCACAAATAATTACTGTTATTGTTGCTTCTTTGTTTTTATTTCACTTACCATATGTTTCTTCAATCGGTTTTTATTTTATTTCTGTTGTTTTGGTTTTTTTGGCGCGTGTATGTGTGTACGTGTACGTTCAATGTTTTGATTTCCTACTCTGAAGTTATGTAGCTGAAAGCGTATGAGCCAATTGGCACGCATCAACATGCTTGCATTCCGATCGGTCAGATGCGCCAGTCTCTCTGTCAAATTTATCGCATCTATTTCGATGAACTCTTGTTTTCGACATTTATTTTGATTCGTTGTCGTTGTCGTTGTCGTTGTCGTTGTCGTCGCCGTCTTCGTTATTGAGCCTAGATCTAGCTCACTCTCTTTCTCTCTAATCTTCGAGCCAGCAACAAGAAAATAATAATAATAATATAAGTGAATCCAGTGAGTAAGCATTTAAAAATATCATCGAAATGGGAAAAACTCCAAAGGCACAAAAACACACAGAAATAGATTACTTCGAGATAAAAAAAAAGAGCCAAATTTTTTTTTTCAATTAATAGATGCGCGCGTATCGGTCATTGCTCTTCAATGAAAAAAAAGCCATTTGACAGAACGCCAAGAAACGACCTCAATGACTAGAGAGAGAGAGAGCGAGCGATTGCAATTACAAGAGGATGCCCCCGATTGACTTGGCTGTGTGGCCTCACTTTAATCGTTTCTAGCCCGCTGAATTCCCAACCGAAATGATGAGAAGAGAAGAGAAGAACATTTCAGCCAGAAGTCTGTTTGGATTCGTATAAATCACTTCCCACTAACAGATGCCAGATTCCATTTCCATATCATGCCATAACAATAAATTTTCTCTCGCCATCCCCTGGCTCGATCAAAAGGAAATAAATCTATAAACAAACCATGGCTCGCACACAATCGCATGCAGCCGTGCATACACATACATGTACACGTCGCTCGTTCGCTCGCTCACTTGCTCGCTAACACACAACTCGCACCAGCTGAGCGCGGAGAGGGAGCGAATGGGAGCGAGATGCACATTCAACGACACATGGAAATACACCTTCATCAAATCACTTGGCAAAAAGTGCTCATGTTGTTGTGCTCTGTGCCATCGCAAAAATACTAACTATTTAATATGCCGCTCGATATATATCAACAGGCACACAGAGCACACACCGAAAACGAAAAAAAACAACAACAAAATAACAGAAACAACAAAGCTAAATACCCAAACCAATGCAAACGGCACTCAGACCAGAGCCGAGCCGAGCCGAGCTGTGTTGAACTGAACGAACAGGCAGCAACGGCAGCAACAACTACGGCAACAGCGGCTAAAGCAAACACTCACTGTGTGTGCAACAATAACATCAACAGTAACAACCGCGTCGTCTCTCACTCGTATAGAGTGTATTAAAAGTGAAGTCAAACGCTATCCTATTCACCATCATCGACGTAGTGTCGAATGGTTTTGTTATTGTGCTATGCATTTCTATATATACAAACACAACACACACATAATCATATTAATAACAATAATAATTGTGCGATCGTTTCGTATGTAAACTCTTTCACATTTCCTTAATATTTTAGTTAATTGTAAATGGCTGAGCTCGAAACAACAAAACGCGCGCGTAAATCGTTCTCGATTCGTTGGCTTGTTTTACATTGAACCGAGAGCCACTTTTTTTGCGGGGCCGAAAATTTTCTTTCTCTGTTTGCACATTTATTTGTCTTTTCATTATTTATTTATTTTGGTCATCATCGTCTCACGAAACTGAGTTACCGAAAAGTTATAAATTTGCGCATTGCATTTTGTGTGTTTCGATTCAAACCGTTGATCAAGTGATCGTGTGTAGTTTCGAAGAAAATCGTTGTTGTTGCTGGTGGTGACATGAAAATTGTGATTATTTTTCTTTAATTCTGTGCACATATACACCACACAATGCGTCTCGGTGTGGCTTAGTGATTTGTTGGGCTTTCAGAAACGATTATATGGATGCATCGATGCAATCCACTTTCCCTGTCCGTTGATCACATAATGCTAAAAAGGATTACCCAAAAATTAGCTCAATATCAAAGTTATCGTTCGATCGACGATTTTACCATTAATTCACTGAATGTGAGAAATCGAAAACGAGAACGAGTGAAAAAAAACCACTGACACTTTTTCCATGGTAAAATGATCAAATTGCGAAAAAAAAATTCGGAAACTAAACAACTGTATGAGCAAATGAAAAAGAGAATCCCTTCGAACTAAAACTCCATCAACGCAATTATTGAAATTGAAGGATGCAGTGTAATCTACAGAATGTCGTGTGTGATAAAATACCCATAACTGATATACGTGAGTCGAATATATCGATATTTAGGTTTTTAGTTTTTTATTCTGCGGCCCAAAAATTACAAAATTTGTTTCTCCTTCTCCTTTTTTTCACCGTTGTTTCCCTTTGCTTGATAATTTGGAATCTTTCGCAGTGCGGGTGTTAGGGGAAAAATCCAAAATATGAAGGGAAAAATCCGTACAAGTCAATTTTGTTTTTACATTGTAATCATTACACGTGGATCACATCCATATCGCATCACAAACAGATTTGCTCTCGTTGTTTAAGCCTATCTCTCTCTCTCTCTCTCTTTCTGTCGCTCTGATCACGAGATCGGTTCATTGAATCCATTGAATCGTTGCGAAACATTTTGCACGCAGCAGAGAAATAAAGAAAAAAACATTTATTTAAAATAGCCTAACCATATGATGTAAGAGAATGCCGGCAGCACACATTGAATTGCTGCTTTGTGCAATTTATAATCGGCAAAACCGATTCTCGATTTCATTTGCACTTACTCAGCCTTCAAATTCAGTTGCCGCTCAGCAGCAAGTACAAGCATAAATGTAGAGCGAGAGCGAAAGCCGATACGAAGAGCAAGAACGAAACGAAAGAAATGAAAAGAAAACGAAGAGAAGAGAAGACGAAAGAGAGAGAGAGAGAAAGAAGCAAGTACAGCACCGAGAATATAGAAGTACAGTATCGAGATAAAGAAAGCGAGTGACAGAGAAAGAATGCGAAAAGACAATGGCAAGAAAAAGTTCAAAATTCCAATTGTTCAAATTCAAAGTGTATTTTTGGCTTGCGTCAACGGCGACAAAAAGAAAAGTTATTGGCGCAATCAACTGTTCGTTCACATCGGCGAAAGCCCCTCAACGAGCAACCAAGAAAAAAAACGAAACAGAAGAAAAAGTAAAATTCAAAATATTTCTAAGTAAAAATTACATGCTGATTTATAAATTGTGCACATGAGGCTCTTTGCTCTTTCCCTCACTCACTCACTCAATCGCTTTCCATGTGTATATCTTTTATTGTATAGTATAAATATTAACGACATGCAGTACACGAAGTTTTTTTCCTGGTTCAAGCACACACACTGAATTTAATTCAGTTTATGTGTGGGCATATACACAGCGAGAGAGCGAGAGAGAGAGAGAGATAGAGAGGGAGAAAGAAAGCATTGTGCGCTGATTCGCTCACGCGCGCGTGATAACTCTAAATAAAAATATATACAAGAGGCAATAAACTGAGAACAAACGGCGACGATAACGACATTGACAACGACAACGACGACACATATGAGAGAATTGAGAGACACATGTAGATGCAAAGAGAACCCAAAAAAGAATACAATTCGCCAAAATAATAATAGTACGTACGGCACACAAACAAAGAGTGAACGAGCGAGAGATTGAACGGGACAGAACTACAGAGGCCAATTGGTTGGCGCACAAAAGATGCCTACAATAATAACGCATTTATATAATTTTGAATGCAAAGTGGCAAATACGATGACGGCAGAATGTCGCGAGTTGAGCCGTGCCCGAGAGAGCCCATTTTGCCAATAATGCAATGCGAATGAACGAACGCACGAGCGGTGCACCGAGAATGCATAAATTACCCATCAACTGCACTTATCAGCGTTGGCAAATCAATGCATAGATTTGGCGATTTTCTGCTTTGATTTGACGCTGCGCCAGCGGCAATGTGCTGATAAGCCAGTGTGTCCAGTGTATGTATGGTGGAAGACAGGCGACAAATACCTGTGTGTATTCCACTCAATATGCCTGCCTGCCTGCCTGCCTGCTCTGCTATATACAGATGGTGACAATGATAATAACAATTGTGCGCGCCCAATAATACACGTATTTTGCACTTACACACAAAACTTAGCTGGCCACCCTGTAAATTCGTGTATTGTTTTCCTGTGTGCATACACAAAAACCCATTAAACACATTTCTCAATAAATGTACGCGCACGGTATAAATATATTCAGCATTTCAGTATAGAGTATTTTACTGTTAATTCCAATACACAGTCGACCGAGTTTTTTTTTCTCTCTTGCTTCTCTCTTCTCTTTTCTTCTGTTTTATATGTGATATAATCGCATACAATGTGATTGTGAAATGTCAATAAACTCCGAAGAACAGTGACTCTAGCCTGTCGTTTGCTGACTAGATTTTTATTAATAAAAGAGAGAGAGAGAGATGTGTTTGTTTTATCTCTTTCTCCCGCTCGTTCACTCACTCTTTGCTCTTTTTCCTAACGAGCATTTTTCCCTTGCAGATTTTGTGTGGCTGTTTGTTGTTGTTTTTTTTTCTCTTTTTCTTTGTATGCGTCATGCTATCTCCTCTGCAACCTTTGTCTTCCGCACTTCGATTTGTAATGCTAAGCAAATGAATTCGGTGTTCCCGTTTAAGGCGGCAACAGTGCAATAACTCATCATCAGTGCATTGTGCTGTACGTGATTAGATGCAATTTTGCTCGGGCTTGAAAATGAATTATCAGAAAGGCATTTGATGTGCAAATTTTTCAAGAAATGGGCAGCCAGATAGAGGGAGTGAGTGGGTGAGTGAATTAGAGGTTTAAATTTTCGTTGCGTTCAACGAAATGCGAAAAGTTCACTATTTTGCAAACATACATGGTGCGCAAATGGTCGCGCCAGTGGACTACCGAATTGAGATGTTGTTGTTTCAGCAAAAATGAATTACGTATGCCCACTTTTATTTATAAAACCGCATTCATGTGATAAGAATAGCTTAAAGACTAGGTTGAAACCGGTTTTAATCACGCCAACTCCACGTTTACTGTGGGAAAGAGTGAGAGAGGGAGGGAGAGAGAGAGAGAGAGAGAGAGAGAGAGAGTGCAAAAGAAAGAGAGTATTTGTCAAGTGGATTTACGCACATTTTGGCTCTTTATTTGGTTGTGCGATTATTTTAGTCTAGCGCATTTCGCATATATTCGCATTATTGCCAACAGCCGCGTTGTCTTGCTGTTCATTGACCAGTTGATGATTATGGCGACACCGTCTCGTTCAATGGTTTTTCATATCAGGCGACAATGACGGTGTGACAACGACGACGACGACGATGACAAAGGCATACAGCCCAAATTACAATTTCGGACTGAGCCGCAGCACCTCATTTCATATGCTCATTAAAATGATTTAATTTAATGATAATGATCCGTTCTTTGTTTAAAATCCCAATGCAATCTGATATACTGTTTAAATAAGATTTGATATACTGTTTATGTTCGTCAGTCACTTCATGTGCTCGAAAATGATAAGGTGCATTTCTCTTTCAACGCCACCGTCGCTGCCATTACCGCCGCCTTGTGCTGATTAACGAGCAACAACCGGCATGGACAATATTATTATATTTTGACAGCTCATTATGCACGGCAACAAACGATCAGCATCACCGTTTAGTTTTGTCTCCGTCGTTGTCGTCGTCGTCGGATGAAATATCAAACGACTATGGATTGCACAATGCACACACAATGCAAACGTGATTAGCCACGATTTGGCGGAAAATCAACTAAACATTTGTTGCCTATTCATTAAATGTGGTTCATTGTTCTCTGCGTGGCTGATAAAGGAACTTCCTTTCTTTTCTTCTTGGTTTTCTTTTTTTTTTCGTTCGCGTTACACGTTTACAGTCGTAAAACATTTCAATTACACTTGTTTTCGCTGTTCGCTGGTGTTGTTTTGTATGTAAAAAAATGATTTTACTACCCGCGTGCAATCCAAACAAAAAAATGTTCGGTTGGAACGAATTGGCGGAAAATAGCGAATCGGTTTGAATTGAAATTGTGAGCAAAGAGTTATACTGTCTGGCTGTTGACCAAACGCAACAAATGCATCAGCCCAACAGAATAATAATAATCTGTTATAATAATCTGTTTGGATTACGTTACACAAAATGAAACGAAATTGAAATGAAGAGAGAAAAAAACACATACACACGATGGCAAGCCCAGAAATGTTTCCTCTATATAAAATGCGTTTTGCATTTGAGTTTAAAGCAAATTCACATGCTTTCTAATATACTTTTCGTACAATTTATTTGGTTTTTATTTCCTTCTTCACCACATTGTTTTCCATTATACATATATATATTTCTTTCTATATTTATATGCGATCTCGTGCGCGCAAGCTCTCTCACTCACTCTCTCTCTCTCTCTCTCTCTCTCTCTCTCTCTCTCTTCTACCTCCTGCACAATTTATGAAGTAATTATTGTTGTTCGATCAAATGTGAATGCATTTTTGCAGTACCAACGTAATAGCAGCCTATGCGTTCCATGAATATTGGAACTGTGGCAAACAACACTGAGTGAATGAGTGAATGAGTGTTTAGCGCGAAAAGACACGTTGCAGCTCCACGCTTTGTACTGACTAATGCAATGTTTCAAATACGTAACTCACATAATTTGCGTTTTGTGTGTAGCGCGTACAATTGCGCTGGAATTGCAATATCATATTTGGGACATGCAAACACTGCAAATAAAGGTGCGATAAACCTATCGAACGTAAATGGTATATACGCTATTCGTTTGTTTGCTCGCAGCCATTTGCGCCCGTTCTCTGTGCTCAAATGCTCGCAATAATGCAAGTCGCTCGCACGATAATAGAAAATGCGGAAATAACAATTCATGATGTTGGATGCCATACATTTGGCTCAACATAACTTCCTTGCCATTTTCTGTCGTTCGTTTCAGCTTTTCACATTTCACTTCAACTGTTTGGTACGTGTATACAGAGTTCCGTATATACAGCCACTTAGAAAGCATATTTTAATGCGCAATATTATCGAAATACATTTTTTTTTTGCTTTGCACACAGTTTGCGTTGCATCGAAAGAATCGACAAAATGAACGGGTGAAAGTTTAGAATCTCAACATCGACAAACACTTTCACATTTCAGTTTTTTTTTTCTCTGTTTCGGAAGCAAAATTAACGATCAATCTCAAATAGAAAGGCACTGTTTTTGTTTAGTTTTTACTACAACATTCTACCGATCTTCGAATAATTCATTTAGTTTCCCTTTGTTTCTTTGTCTTTTTATCGCCATCATTTTCGATTCTGTAATTTAATTTGACATTTTTTCCGTTGCACAATCTAGCCGTAAGATATGGTAGAGTGCCAAAGCGATCACGGGAGTTGAGTGGAAGCGACGAAAATGCCGATAGAGATAAAAGAAAACGTAAGTATTGAAAAGCTCGCCTAAAACTGGAGACAAGAAATGCAACGATACATGCGAATTTTATGGTACAAATACTCCTCGAACTCGACAAATAAAAGCTTTTCTATTTGGCACCTGAGAGCTTTGGTCAAAGACCCCAGAAGATCATGAATACGCTGTTGAAAATGTGTGCAAAAAATCTCTCTTCTTTGCGATTGATGCCAAACAAAAGAGAGGAAAACATGAATTGCTAATAAACTAGAAATTCTTGATGCCTATGAATGGTGTAACATGTCTCTTTTCCTTTCTCTGCGTTTGTATTTCAGCGACGCCACAATTGTGTTCAGTTGCATCACCACCCGATATAGCATCGCTTGCACCAGACCCAACTGAATTGCCCGGCTCCACCGACCTGTCATCCGTGTACGATGTTATTTGTCGGGTTTCCCAAGCTGCGGAAGAGGTATGTATACGATGATATTATGCGCTCATTCGTGCCACTTGTAGTAATGTAGTATATATACCGTGTACTGCGTAAACAAAAACACTGCGTAACATTAACAAACATTGCACATTAATGATCATTTATACTAATATTGATGCACTTTAATATAGACGCTACTGGTGAGAAAATCAATCCAGATGCCAAGCGACCCAGTTTCTGACGAGGAATGTGAGGTAATTTTTGTGTTTTCACGTGTTGTTTTGTTGCCTTTACATCAAAAGCATTTGTCGAAGAAGCTTTTTTCGCTTGTATTTTTGTAAATGGGCAAGACGCAGGAGAAGACGACTACGAATGAAAAAACAGAATCAACAACAACAATAAATATCAATTGCAACCATGTGATGGGCAAACATTTGAAATGAATTTGTTTGGTTTGGTTTGATTTTTATGTTAGTTGACGGCAACCGTGACGGATGCACTAAAGCGAAAGAAAATTCTACTTTGGCAACATTTTGCGAGCCGCATAACGCCAGGTAATGGATATTGAACGCATGTCGGATTGAAAATAATGTGCCAACATGCTGGATGCGCCGTCGATTGCTTAAATCATTTATCTGATTCATTTGCAGGTGTTCAACGTGTAGTCGAATTTGCAAAACGTGTACCTGGTTTCTGTGATTTTCCCCAAGACGATCAACTTATATTAATTAAATTAGGATTTTTCGAAATTTGGCTCAGCCATGCAACTAAATTAGCCACCGATGGATCACTTACTTTCGATGACGGCAGTTTTTTGACACGAGACCAATTGGAAATAATATACGATGTAAGTGTTGATGTCGATCGCATTTTGTTCGCTTTTTTCCCCCTTGAATTCGAATACATCGACGTGTGTAGAAAAAAAAACCAAATCTATTTTAACATTTTCACGACAGAATGAATTTGCGAATGCGTTTCACAATTTTTCCAACGGCCTTAATGAGTATGGCTTAAGCGATGCGGAAATCGGATTGTTCTCAGCATTGGTACTGCTCACAGCCACACGTCCAGGTATAACGGAGCCTAAACAAATACAGCGCACACGTGAACGTATCGCCGAGGCGCTTCGTGTACAAATCGTCCAGACGCGTTCCGGTTCAACGGCATCGTTGCAATTGATGCCAGCGCTCGAAGCGAAAATCAGTGAATTGAAAGCGCTCGGCGTGCATCATTCATCACATTTGAATTGGCTGCGAAATAATTGGACGCTATTGCGACTTCCTCCCCTGTTCGTCGAAATATTTGACATTCCAAAATGTGACGATGACGAGTGATCCTCTACTCACACCCACACCTCTCCCCCTCCCCAAGAGGATGTCCTACCGATGCGAATTTTGCGAGCATGTTGTTGATATTTTCTTTTTCGAATGCCGGCACACACACACACACACACACATACATAGAGAGACACAAATTGTGACCAAACAAACATGTCAGAAGAAATGGATTGAAGAGCGACAAATATGAATGATTTCTTTTCCAAATGCAGTACAATCAAATTTCGAGAGTTAAACTATTTTAGAGAAAATCAAATTGAAAACAATACGTTCAAACACAAGTTACAAACAGAGACAAAACAACTAAAACAACAACCACCAGCCAGATTAAATGAATACTCTAGAGAAAATTTTGATAGAAATCTGTGAGATGACAGCAAAACTAAAGCGAGAACAAAATAACGCAGCAGATGGAAAACCAATTTATGAACAGAGTTAAAAATAATCAATGTTTCTTATTTCTTAAACCCATGGAATTTGCCAAAATTTTATCTAATCCAGCAACAAAACACTCACACACATACATACACAAAATGAACATCAAAGAAACATACAAAACTTTAAATTTATTATTGTATACATAACACGATTTTAGAGCAAACATAAATAGTACCAGTAAGTTTTATTTCAAACATATCAGAGAAAAAAAATTGCGCGCAATTGAACCGAAGAGAATGAAAAACAAATAATATAAATGAGAAATTGACTCTTAAGTCTCCGGCAGGCTTAACAAATAGATGTCAAATAATTTTCATTTCTTTTTAATTTTTGTTTCTAATTCTTTGTGTTTGTCTTCATTTCAATTTCATATTGTTTTAACATCATTGATTTTTTTCCCTTCATTTTTATCACATTTTTTCCCCTTCGTTTTAAATTCATTTCTAGGGGAAATAAGTGTTTAGATCTAACATTAAATAGTTTATAGCAATTATCGAATAATTGTCTATTCCTTCAAATTAAGATCGCAAAAAACGTACAATTTGTATTTCTTTTTGATAAACAAAAAAAAACACATCTTTCATTTGACTAATAATATTTGTTTATTCTTAAAAACAAAACAAAAAACAAACGTAACATTAAATCTATCTTCCTGGAAGCGTCTTACATTTAAAAGAAAAAATGAACATGTTTGTGATTTCTTATCAAATCTTGACTTACACTTGCATTTCTCATCGATTTCCTTCATCGCTAAGAATTTTCGATTGGCTGGGGAAAATCAATCATCATCAGCATCTCTTCAATTTCATTAATACTTTGTAGATTTTCTGTTTTCATACATCATTTTTTTCTCGTAATCACCGCAATAATCAATCTTTGGGCACAATATTCTCTTTCTTTTCCATTTGAAAGACACAATTTGCAAACGCACGAGCATTTGCATTCAATAATTTCTGCCTATAATTAGAATTTAAAAGAACAAGACAAAGAAGAAGCAGAGCGACTAAGAGCACACATAACATATACACTGAAAATAGAGTCGCAATTTATTCATTTTATGGTGCTATTCGTTTTTAATTTTCGTTTTTTTTCTCTCTCTCTCTCTCGCTCTATTTCTCTCTCTCTCTCTCATTTTATCGATTATATTTGTATTAAACACTGTAATTGATTCATAGCAATAACTGCCTTTCTAAAACATTTTTTTATAAACGTGTATTCGTGTAATATTTAAGCGAAACAAAAAGAAAACACAGTAAATGGTGCCGCCTATACTATTTTGAAATGAGCAATAGCAAAAAATGAAAATGAAAACCACGAAAACAATTATTAAAACAAATCGGAAATTTGGCAAATGTCGATAAGTGAAATTAAAATAGTAGCGCAAAGAACAAAAAAAATACGCAAGTCTCGAATGAAATGGCCTCATTTCTTATGTATATAAGAAATTTTGAATATAGTACATCATATTTTATTTTTAATTAGTTAAATGAGAATATTTTTCTAGTGGCGTAAATGCCATTTTCTTAGCAGAAAAAAAAATCTGATCAAATGGTGGATTTTTGTTTTCTGATGGACTGGATACTAACCAACTTTTGAGTGAATTTTTTTTATTTCCTTCCATGGAAAAAAAGAGGAATATCCTCCTTTTGCCCGCAATCAAAAACCGTTTCAATTCTTATTTCGTAACTACTTTAACTATCTTTATTAAAGAAAAACAACTAATCTATTGTTAAAATATATCGCGAGCGAAAATATGTTGGGTGACGTGCATGTGGCATATAAAAAAAAAAAAAATGTGTGGCATTGTTTGTATGCGGGGTAAGGCATAATTTGCGACCACCGTAGTGTTGCTTCCGTATTAACTCTTTCTACCACACTCACAAACTCTCGCACACACACTTCGCACAATCTCCGAACATTTGAATATTCTCTGTCGTTAACATGCTTGTATGTAAATTTTTTTCTTCGGTTTTATTCAAATTTCTCGCACAAATTAATTATTTTTTAATGAAAAAGAAAAAAAAGAACAACAACAAACACACAAAATGATAACGCTATATATATATATATATATATATATATATTCAATTGAGTTTTATACCCTGAACTGTGTTCGATTTAGACAACGCGGCTACTAGCTGGCGCAAATAATGATGTTTGAAAGGGCGGTGGGCCATTGAACATTGAACATTGAGTTGTTGGCTTATTTGGTTCATTAATTTTAGTAGTTGCGAATTATTTTACACCGAGTTTCATTTTATATATGATAGAAAGAAAAAAAACTCAAATCTATTTTTGTGATATCTATTGAACGAAGCTATTTTAATTTTTTTTCCCTCTTTTAGTTTATACATAACCAACGTTCACAATTCGATTGTTTGAGTTTAATTTTTCGTTTATTTTTCCTCTTGTTTTTAATTTGAATTGCATGGAATCTCTTCTTGAATTAAACTTGTCAAATTATTCGGTTGAAAAGAAATGCAATTAAAATATTTAGAAGAACAAAAAAATTGTTAGATTTTAATTGTTTTCATTTATTCTATTTTCTGGAAAATGTACGAAATGAATGAAGGAACTGATGGATGTAATCCAATTTTGAGCACATTTCTAATTTTATTTTTCTTTTGCTCGTCTGAGAAACAAAAAAAGATGAAAAATAAAGTTGAAAACAAAAAAACAAAAACAAAACACACGCCCTGATCCAAGGTAGACTTTTGAATTAAACCATCAAAAACTTACGTTTAAATAAATAAAATATCAAATATTTCGATTTCAAAATGCAGTTTTCATTCCTTACCCACAGCTGAAAATCAGTCAAACTGAAAAGTGATTCGATTTTTTGCAGCTATTTCAGCTCCACAATTGAGATTGTTTCGGACGATTCAGCTACTGTAAAAAGTAAAAGGTAAACGGTTGAGTAAAACACATTTTTAATTCATATATGACATTGTCACTTCCCATATGTTGTGTTTTTTATTACTTCCAAACTTTACACATTAATAATTTATTATATGTATTCAATTAAAATTAAAATCGCATTATAAGTTTACATCACCGCATGAATATTATATATCATTAGATTGATCAATGTGTGTTGAATATGGTATGATTTTTGTTCTTTTTATTTGAATTTCATTGTCAATAATTATTTGTCTGCAGTTATGTATTTTTTTGTTATGTATTTTTTTATGTTATTTCTTTGCATTACTACGGATAACAATAATAAGCAAATACAATCATTTTTTTTTTTTGTGTGTGTGATTCAACAAAATTTTGCATATTATCTCATGTTCAAGAGACATCAAGTAGTTTATTTCCATTGATTTTGGACAACAATTGATGTTAGGAAGAGATTTATTCATCTGGACAAGGCTGTTTATTTTTCTATCATTTTCCTTATATCATTTGTTTTAATATTCTATATCCATAAGTTAGAATAACATTTCCACACTGAAATTCAACATGATTTAGTAAGCACTGTCAATGATATGTGTTCAGTTTAAAAAACTTAAATTCAATATACTTTTTATACGTTACTTTTTTTTCCTCATTCACTCGTTCATTATCCTCAATAAAGGTCCTTTTTTGAAAGTTGTTTCCAAGGCGGAATGATATGTATGATTATTTAAGTACACAATAACACTGTTTCTTTTATGATCAATTCGATCGCCAAAAACAAATATCTTATGCACCATTTAGGATTTGACGGTTAAAAATTCATTTTCATCAAAAATTCAAACCAACGAACAAAAATACTTTTAATTTTAACATTAAACTAGAATACGATCATATTTCAAGCAATAAATTAGTGTTTTTTATAACACATTTGTTTTCATTTTAAGACTTTTTCCAGTCTGACATTTAAAATAGACCATTCATAAATAGTTGTTAGTTGTTGTTAGAAGAAACTTAGAGGATAGAACTAATCTGATTACAGTGCGATAAAAGAAATTCGGTTCACAAAATGTGAACTGACTGATATATTTGAATAACACAACAATAAATTAATATCATCATTATTTCGATTGGAATACGTATAGTTATATATATATCTCCTAAATATTAACAACAATCGTTTTTTTTTTCTTTAAAATGAAGCATCTGCTTTGAATTCTTTAAATTTCATTCCATTTGTTTGGTTTCCAATTTTCTTTTCTTTTTTAAATGTGTGCGAAAAATAAATAGATGTTTTACCATTTTTTTTAAACACTTTGTAAAGAGTGTATCCATAGAATATATGAATAAAATATGGCCGCTTGAGCATCTGACAATAATCATCAATTACCACACTTTCCAATAAAGAAGAAGAAATCAATAGAAAAAACCCTGAATTTTGTGTTTCGTTTTTTTTTTCTCTGTGCATTTTGACATTCAATAAAATGAATCGAAAACAAAAATGATCAATAAAATTAAAAGTAATTATGGTACATTTTCTAAGCAAGTTTATGTTTCTTTTCTTTGCATTTTTGCCGAGATGATAAATAAAAAAGTTTAAATGGCCGATAAACAATAGCCACTTTAAATGTTAGTGCTTAGACAATCTATTGGCTGAAACAAGCAATGAATTTGCATACAATGTACTTTGTGTGTGTTTGTTTTATTTTAAAATTATTATATAAATATCGTGGTGTGTTGCTTTCTATTCATCCATTTGCACTTTATTCGGGTCGATTAGCAAACAGTTGTTCGACAATACTTTCGTCGGCCAATGTCGAGGTGTCGCCAACATTGCGGTCATTGATGGCAATTTTACGTAAAATGCGGCGCATGATTTTACCGGAACGGGTTTTCGGTAGGCCGGGTGCATGTTGAATGACATCGGGCTGGGCAAATGGACCGATACGTTCGCGCACCAATTTTTTCAATTCATTTACTAGCGTTTTATCAAATACTTCATTTTGATTTGGTGTTATGAAACAGTAGAGGCATTCGCCTTTGATGGGATGTGGACGTGAAACTACAGCTGATTCGGACACATTTTTGTGTTCGGTGAGAACGGCTTCGATTTCGGCGGTTGACATCAAATGGCCAGATACATTTAGTTTATCATCAATACGGCCAGTTATCCAATAGTTGCCATCGGCATCACGACGAGCACCTGTTATTTCAAATAAATATCCATGAGATGTGGACAGAAAAAAATTGATTTAAAATTAAAAATTACCATCTCCGGTGCAGTAGTAGCCAGGGAACTTCGAGAAATAGGTTTCTTCGTAACGTGGATGATTGTTGAAAATGGTACGCATGATGCCTGGCCATGGTTGTGAAAATACTAAATATCCTTCTCCTTCATCAACCACCTCAACACCATTCTCATCCAAAAGTGTTGCCTTCACACCGAAGAATGGGAAGGTCTGAAAAGAAATGATTCGGGTGGAATGATTTATTAATGACCATCCAACACTTGATCAAAAGGGGAAAAAAAGAATCTTTTTGAATGCGTACAGCTGATCCAGGTTTCATTGGAGTTGCACCGGGCAGTGGTGTGATTACATGGCCACCAGTTTCAGTTTGCCAGAATGTATCAACTATCGAGCATTTTCCCTTTCCAATCTTTTTATAATACCACAGCCATGCTTCGGGATTAATTGGTTCACCAACACTTCCCAAAATTCTAAAATTACAGAAGAAGAAAAAATCAATTTCAAGTCTAAACTGCATGGAAATTATTTATTCAAACGGAAATTACCGTAAGCTCGATAGATCATGTCGCAAAACCGGTTCATCACCGTATTTCATCAAAGCCCGAATGGCAGTCGGTGCCGTGTACAATTGGTTCACCTTATATTTATCGATAACTTGCCAATAGCGATCGTTGTCTGGATAGAATGGAGTGCCTTCGAACATGACGGATGTGGCACCATTTGCCAATGGCCCATAAACGACATACGTATGTCCAGTGATCCAGCCAATATCAGCAGTGCACCAATAAATATCGCCCGGCTTGTAATCGAAAACATACTTGAATGTTGTACTTGCATACAATAGATACCCGCCCGTGGTATGTAGAACACCTTTTGGTTTTCCAGTCGAACCGCTGGTATAGAGCATAAACAGTGGATCTTCAGCACCCATCCACTCGGGATAGCAGGCCGCTTCAACTTCTTCCATTTCTTCGTGCCACCAAACATCACGATCATTATCCCATGGTGTTGGTTTGATTGTTTCGACCGCTTTTTCACAACCGGGTGTGACCCGTTCCAAATGTGCCACAACAATGCATTTCGACACCTGATGACCCAATTTGGCGGCTTTGTCCAGTGCTTCATCACAAAGTGCTTTAATTTCCAGCGGTTTCTCACCACGCCAGGCACCGTCACACGTGATCAACACTTTCGCTTTGCAATCATCAATTCGGTCGGCCAGCGAATCAGAAGAAAATCCAGCAAACTAAATAAATCATTCGAAACAGATATATAATCGCATTAATCAATTTTAATTGATGATTTTTGCACGTGCTAATTAACAATTTAGCTAAGTGCTGACCACCACAGAGCAATTTGTAAATTAATTACCACAATGGAATGTATGGCCCCGATACGTGCGCACGCGAGCATTGCAATAGGCAGCTCGAGCACCATTGGCATGTAAATTGATACGGTGTCACCTCTTTGCACTCCATGCAACTTCAACACATTGGCAAAACGGCATACTTCTTGCAGCAGTTTCTTGTACGTTATTTTCGTATAATCATCCGGATGATTTCCTTCCCTAATATCAATGATGTTGACAGAGAAAAAAAAGAAAAACCATCAGAAAAATATAGTCATTGAAAATTCAAGTTATCTTTTTCCTAAATAAGCATTGCTTATTTTGGTCGTTTTGTTTTTTCCTACAAAATTGTGTGCCTTTAAATTAAATACTATAATCATTTATCAACGGTAATCAATTGTGATACGCCCGCACTGAATCACGTGAACCATGATCATTAAGAAAGTTTGCACTTGAATTTAATATCTGTAAAACGTTAAGCACTTATTTGATATATTTGAAATTCCAAAGTCATTTCTTTGAATAGTTCTTTGCAGAGCGACAGAGATACAGAAAACAAAACAAAAAACACATCATACTAAGTAGATACGCGATACAAGTGCAATGAAAACAGTTTGCCTAGACCTCAATCGCTCAGTTTTATATATACGGAGGAGAAAAAAAACAATTCTGCGTAAACGAGTGAGCGTTCGCTTGCTCGTGCTTACTCACCGACAAAACGATTATTTTGTATAAATAATGTAATATTATAAAGCAGAATATGTAAAAATGTAACGTGAATATATAATTGACATTCAAAATCGTTTTATTTTTGTGATTATAATTGTCAATCATTATCTATCCGGAATGAATTTTCGTTTTGATCATTTATTGCTATTTACTTGCACGCAGCAACACATTATTTACCAAAATTCAATTTGCTATACAGAAATTGCATTATTGTTTATTTGCATGCCTTGTTTTCCGTGCTCGTTTATGTTATCATTTGACGTCGATTTTATCATTGGTTGAACTGAATTTGAAATGCATTGAGATTACTTGAGAGACAAAAAGAAGCGCACACTTCAGACAGGCAAATGGTTCGATGATGTGTCAACGATTGCATTTTCATTCATCGGCTTGTTGTGTTATTGAATTTGGATTCATTCAAATGTTGCATCGATCGACAACAGTGTAATCGGCTGCTATATAATGTGCTTCCATTGATCTGTCAACTGTAATTTATCAATTAATCAGTTTTCGGAATTTGCATTTTTCGTCTCGTTTGTTGTGGTTTCGCTTTTGTTGAAGCAAAAATGATAAACGAGTCAATGATTTTTGGATTATATTATTTGTCATTAGTTGTCATTTTCCAATTGTGTTTAAACGTACTAACGATTTCTTCATTCGAAAATCATTTCGGTCTAGCATTGAATGTCAATGGTATGCAAAACCAAACCAGTACCGGAAATTCAGGAGATTGGTGCAACTCTGTTTTTAATGCCAATAAGGTGTTGCCAATCGAATATTCGTGCAACAGATCTGCGATATCCCTTATAGATTATGCATATTAGTATGAGCAATACATAGGTTAAATGTAGCACTTAGTCTCAGCCGATTTACACTGGTTGGACTTGAACTTGATATTGATTGTAACGCGTTGATCTTTGAAAAATCGCGCTGGGTAAGTGTTTTTTTTAATTTCTTTGTGTTGGAGTGTTTTATTTGCCTATGTTTCCAAGCCATCATTAAAAGGATATACTTATTCGAAAGTCATAATGATTGCTTTTTTTTACAATTTTATGACAGACATTTCTGCTCGTGATTCATGATGTTGCTCGTGGCTTGAAAGGCTCATTAATTCATTACTTTGATAACGTAAGGCACATGCAAGATCCTAATGCCATCTATTGAGTTTTGTAGAAATCATTAAGGTACTAACTACTTGGTTCAATACGAATGGTGATTAAACTTAACAGCGGCTTTACTGTTACTCAACTTACTTTTAAGTTACTTAAACTACCTTAATAGCAAAACGTCAAACCAAATGGTAGTTGTGCTCGCTGTTGTATATGCCGTACGTTTGATAACACGCAAGATGATAAAAGAGAATACAGTGGGCCCTTGGAAATTAGAACATTTTGAAATTAAAAGAAACAACAACAAATACATTAAAAGAAGCTCAATTTCAGAGGTACTAATGCATTGCTTGCGCAACAAACTACTTCTAATTTCCGAGGGAAACAGAGAGGAATGAGGAATTTTGATTTGGTCAGTGCCCTGTTTCGAATTCCGGAGAAGAAGAAGAATGCAAGAAGCATAGCCGAAAAACTGAAAAGAAATGTATAAGGTTGTGACCGACTAATCCGTTATTTTATTTGTTACTTTTATGTAACACACAATGTCAATTCGCAATCTGGATGCGATTGTGTTATTGACCGTACTTGACTTTCGCCGCGAAAAGACGACTCACACCACGAAAGGGAAACACACAGTACGGAAACTGTATGGCATAGTTTTTGTGTTAATCAAGCCACGGTTGATAACGGGATCGAGACGCACGCCTATATGTCGGGTTTCCATTTGATTACAATAAAATTCTTGGCAACAATTTTCAACGCACACATTTCTGGTTCGTTTCTTTATCTAGCCCATTAGATTCCATTCCGTGCACATACATATATGTGCTTCGAAAATCTGACTAAATTTTGCATAAGTTATTTTACCTTTCTGTCAATTCTTTTCTTTCGTTCGTCTCTAATTGATAGTAGGTCATGATTAGCATTTTATGTTAATTGACACGCAGCACAATTCACAAGCCATTTTATTGAGCGATAACCAATTGAAATGATTTACTACGGTCACTGATCCTCTCTGCATATAGAGTTTGGTATATGTACAAATCGTTTGTCTACGAGCGTTCGGAAAACGGAGCGATAATCGAAATCTCGTTGAAAGTAAACGTTAGCGATACATATGCGAATGCAACCAATGTTGGTGTTGTTATTGGTAATGATACCCTTGCACATTTCATTTGGTAATGCCAAAATGAGCAATACATTTGATTAGCACAACCTTGGAGTTTGGAATTGCAGACTGATAAAACCAAAGTAAATAATATTTTGTGTGTGTGTTTGTGTTTGTGCCGATATCACTTTTATGGCCGAACACAAATAATGGCAATTGAGCCTCTCCAACGCACAGCCAATGTCATGGATCGTGACAGAAAATGGAAAAAGAGCAAAGAGCAATGAAATTGATAAATCCTTGTATTCGTTTCGATAAAACCATCCGAATGGCTTGTCATTGACGGCGGAACAGAAAAAAAGAGAAAATCGACAATTGAAGAAAATAACTTGGCCATTGTAACTCGGTATGACGTTCGAAGAACGAGCCTTTTTTCGTTTATCGATTTTCTTTTTTACTTCTGCGTTCAATTCGACCGTCTCTGTACGTCATTTCTGTGCGGTTTTTTTCCTCTCTCTTTATATATATATATGTATATGTTTCAGTGAGGATTGCTTCGTGTCCTTATCCATTTCAGTCGGGCATTTCTTCGCGCGCTTACATAATAATCCACAAGTTCAACTTTTGCATCGAAGGTAACGATCATTTTGTGTTGAGAGAAAGAGAGAGAGAATGTGTGTGTGTGTGCATACAAATCAGCAATTTATCCTGTACGCTGGCTCAAGGCAACCAATGCAAAATGATTAATGAAATCGTCGACATTCATGGTGCAGTCATTATGCATATGCGATGTAATATATCCACTTGATTTCCCCGTTTTAATTGAAAAATTATTACGTTTTTTTTGTGTTTGTATCAAATTTTTTTGTTCATTCCATTGCATGGCTTCACTCGTACATCATACGAGCTAAATTATTGAAAAGCTTAACTCACTGAACTGCTTTCCATTAATTCGAAAAATACCCAAAGCACAAGCGCTAATAATTGTTGTATGTTTATTTAGGTAAAATAGAGAGAAGAAGAATAGGAAGACATGAACCGTTTCAGCAATCAACAAACTAACAATGGTTTGAAAATTGTACAAAATAGGCCTGTATTATTGGAAATCGGTTTGGGTTTGAAAAGAAAACATCATTATCGAAACGATAACGCGATTTGCAATGTTTTCTCTAATTTCATTTTTAAATTTTTCAACTCATAATGATTTAATGCTTAAGTGATTAAGGCACATGTTGTGTACAAGCATTGAAATTTCTTCAATGTTCCCACATCGATCAGCTTTTTGTGTTGATTGGGTTTGTTTTTTTTTCTCTACTGTTTCGGTTTAGTTTCACCTTGTACTCACCAATAGTAGGCGATTTGATCGGCCAAACCATTTTTGACATTGCGATCCAATAGATTGAATGACAAATTGGTCGATGCACCAGCCATCCATTTCGTGAAGATTGTACCCTTGGTTACGTCAAAATTGTATGAGAAAAACTCCTTTGGATTGGCCTCGGTTTCCCAATGGAACTGCTTCGCAATATCACCCCAGAACGTTTGTGGGTCTTCTATTGATTTTTTATACAGGTCTTGATATTGCTCAAAGCTGCTAATGTACGCGTTCGTACTGAGATCCTTGTCGGGCGCAAAAACCGAAGAAAAACCATTTTCCTTTGAAGACATCGTTCTTTCTCGTGCTGATGTTCGATTGTTGTTATCTTTTATCACGTCTACTGTCGATGATATAATTACACCACACTTTTGGTTTTCGTTTTTTGTTTTGCGTGCTTGAACACGGAACAAAACACTGAAGCACGTAGACACACACACACACACAACTAATATCCAAACACACACTCACTCTAAAACACACGCTGTGTCTAATTATTTATGTAAAGCAATTTCAGTAAAAGTTGGATTGGTTCTCAACTCGCTTCTTGCACTATACTCCCACAACTAAGATGTACATATCAATTTAAGAACGATATAAGTGTTTGGTTTCAGGATAGAAACAGTTTCATTGTTTTACTTTTGGTCGTTTTTGTTTCTAATTCAGTCGTCGATATCGTTGAAGTGTTGATTCGTGCTTCGGAAAAATTGTCGAATGATTTCTTTTGTTGATGTCAACCGCGTGCGATTTGATTTGTCACTAGAAAAAAAAACAGTAAATTTTCTGCCAGAAAATTTGTGATATAAACTAAATGATGTGTATATGGCTGGCGATTCGTTGTGTGACAATGTTATCTTGTCAAATGTTAAATGTTTTCGTTTTTTGCGAACACGCAAAAATTGGTTTTGTGTCGAATGTGTGGTGTTTTTTGGAAGGCAGTCTCCCGTCAACTGAATGAATTTCGAATGTGCAAATCGTGTGTTCTGTGTGACACAAAGTTTACTCTCTCTCTCTCTCTCTCTCTCTCTCTCTCTCTCTTTCTCTCACTGTCACTCTCACTCTCACTCTTCTTGTGTGCATGTGGAAATTTCGTACTGTACAGGCGCTACGCTGATGATAATAATAATGTAAATGAAACAGGCAACTGTTTGAAAATGATAGAGACAAACGACCGACGACGATTCGACTCACCAATACTGCTGTGTACGTGTGTAAAAGAGACGAAAACGTTTTTTTTGTGTCTACGAAAGGGGGAATCGAATGCGCACCAGCTGAAAACGGAAAATATACAAATCTGGTGTGCACTATGTTTTCGAGTATTGTAGTAAAGTTTGTCAATTTCCAGCCAATAAACAGCAACCGTGAGTGAGCGCACATGCGTAGCTCATCGCGTTCATTTGTTGTCGCTTCGGGTTAGCCGTCGTTATTGCAATGCCAATATGACAATTCAAACTTCAACGACGGGGTTTTGTATAAATCGGCGTTGTAGAAAAAATTAAATTGCTCAACACTGATGCAAGACAAAAAAAAAAACACAGTGAAAAAGGCCCGAATTCCCAATACAAAACCACAGCACGCAATGCAAATCCGAACACATGCCGTTTCGCCTATTCACATTGACTCACATTCCTGTTTCCGAAGGGGAATTTGTTTTTAACGTTTTTCGTGGAATTTTCAATGGCCTTACATAACCGCTCAATATAGTACGGTCTGAACCTGAGTATGGTCCAAAATTTCCAATGGAATTATGACCACAACAATCACAATAACACCGATTTTTATCGATTCATTCACAAACCAATTACCACCGTCTCTTATCTCTTCTGCTGATTTCAGTATCAATTTCTACGTCATTCTTTTTTTTTGCGAATTTCGCTCGTAAATAATCGCTGATTCATCAATTGCACCACATTATTTCATCGAATATAGGATATTCTTGGTCGTCTCCACTTGATAAAAACAAAGCGAGCGGGGAAAAATTAAGCAGTAGTGTCGGTCTTCCAGTTTCCCATGTGTCAAATTCATATGGTTGGATGTTCAAAAGATGGCGCTGCATATGGACGAAATGAATGCATGCGATTGAAGTAGCCAACTGAAACAAATCGCAAATTATTTTTAACCATTGAACATGTTATTGATATCAGACGCCGAGATACAAACACACGTTTCGTATTGATTCAACAAACCCATTCCAAATCTCGGTGCATTCAATCGAATCACTCGACAAAATATATACCGGCAAATACCAGTTATGTAATCGAAAATAACCAAAAAGAAAAAAAAAGATTCAGCAAAATTGTCATATGAACATGTTTTTTTTCTCGTTTTATTTTTAGGGGGTATTACGATCAAGCTCAACTCAGTTTACTGTTGTGCTAATCGACAGCAACAACTCTTAATTAAGAATTAAAATTAAATAAGCAAAACTTGAATTTTTGTATAAAAAAAAACAAACAAACACACAAACGATTTTGAATCGTATGCGATTGGCATTGGTGTTGATGTTGCTTTTAATGTGATGACTTGAGATATTCGTCGTATTTTTCTTCGTTCATGAGTGTGTCGACCTCGTCTTGTTTGCTGAGCTTCACTTTGAACAGCCAGCCTTTGTCATATGTCGAGCTGTTGATAAGACCAGGCGTTTCTTCGACTTCGGAATTCTTTTCAGTGACCGTTCCCGACACCGGCGAATACAACTCACTGGCCGCTTTCACACTTTCCAATGCGCCACACTCGTCGCCTTGTGACAAAACGGCGCCAACATCAGGCAATTGTGCAAACACAACGTCACCAAGGGCCTCCTAAAAAAAAAATTCAAGATAACAAACAACAACCGCATCATTTAGAAATTGAACTGTGGTTCAAAGTGACATTTGGCCGCATTCACTTCATACCTGAGCATAGTTCGAAATTCCAACCACACCAATTTCGCCATTTACTTGAACCCATTCGTGTTTTTCCGTGTATTTTCTACCTACGAATTTTAGTCAACGCATTTTCATTTATATTTCGATTGAACGGAATGAAAATGAAAAGAGGGAAAAAACGAATTGGTTACCTGTGAAAAGTGCCGGCGATGCACTGAAATGTCTAATGGTTGGCAAATATTTTATGTGTGCATTGAATTTGGCGAATTTGGTCAGTGCATTTACGCCAACCGTTGACGATACACGAATTACTTGACACAAAACCATTTTTGTTGTTGTTATTGTTTCTATTTTATTTGATTTCTCTTCACAATGACTACTCAGTAAATCAGCCGTCTATCTTCTTCTTTTTTCGGATCCAAGAGCAGCTCGTGTGTACGATTATTTTTTCGGTTGATTCAAAACTTCTCGCTGTCGAAACACAAAAGGAACAAAAAAAAGTATCTCGTTCAACTGATGAAGATCGATCGTGAACACTAGTGTACAAGACAGAGAATTACAGCTCAATCTGTTGATGAAGTTGAATCCAGCTTACGACTGTTTCACAAATAAGCAATTTTTTGAAATGTAACACAGTTTCGCATTGAAGTGATAACAACCGATCTCAGTATTTGAGCGAGACGACAATACACAAATGACATCTAATGTCATCGCTAGTAGAAAAAAAAAAGCGAAAGAAGAAGAAGCAAAACAACAACAACAACAGCAAAGCACATTGCGACAAGAACCGCATCCACTACACTGTACCGTACTGTACTGTCACACATCGTGTGCGGTTTACAATTTGAAAAATACGGGACATTTTCGCGCCATAAATCTATTTACCAAATTTTGTCAATTTTATCGCTGAATTCAATTGACTTTAGTTGGGAAAATTTTTCCAACTAAATATTTTTCAATTGTTCCGAATTAACAAAACACTGGACAATAATGCGTAATTGTTTGTTTTATTTCATTGATCTTGTTTCGAAGCGACCCTGTTCAATTTTCTCATTGGCATGCTGTATCGATAATCCGTGGCTATAGGTCAACAGTTTTTTCCCTTCGTTCACACAATTTTTCGTTTATATAGATAACCGAATAAACATGCTTATTTTCACTTCAATGAACACAGCAGCAAAACGTAGTAACTAGCAGGGAAAAAAATTAATCGTGTTGCCATTTGTCATGCTATCTGCTTGATTTTCAATGAGATCAGAAGGAAATATCATCAGTGAAGGAATGAAAAGAAAGAAAAAAAAACTGAATGATACTCGGATTGCTCTCGTCAGATAGGCTTATTATTCTGGGCACGGGAGAAATATTTGTATGGAAAATTGACGCAATTTATTGAGAATTCGTACTTGATGTGTGTTTATGTTATTTTACAGTTTTGATGTGTGCGACCTATTCGAGGGGGAGCATTGATAAGGCCAATTCACGTTTCGTAAATATGTTATGATAACTTTATTTTATAATTTCAAATAATAATGTCGTATTCCATTTTGACTTTGATTTCTAGAAATCCACAATTACATGGCGTCTTGAACTCTCACTACAATTTCTATTTCAATGTGAATGATTCTTGTCGCTATTTCTGTTGCCATTGATGTTGTTTGAATTATAAAATTAAATTCACTATTAATAAAATCGAGCTCCCATTTTCTAGCGCATTCGATTAACATTGTAGTTGATGTGTTCGATGAGTGCGATTTTCACTGAGCTGATATTGTTGCTGAACACACACACACGTCTTGAGGTCATGTTCGTAATACAAATCTGATTTGAGTTTAATTCAATTCAATGGAGAAAAAAATGCAGAGAATATATTCGTATCTTGGATGCATTCCATTTGATATCGGTTTTCGTTTCGGCTTTTTCCATTTTAAATTTTTTTTGTACTTCGCCACATCAATTCAACTATCTAATGTCTAAAAGTTTTAACGTAAAGTTTTGGTTTGTGCGTTTTCGTTGACAGTATTCTCCTTTTTTCTATTGTTTTCAATCATAAATTGTCTTTGCGATGCACTTTACTTTGCTTTAATTGCTAAAGATTAGTAACGTGATGCACGAAGAGCTGATCGCAATGGTGGTCGCGTTTCAAACGAATCACCGCTATGAATATTTGGGCTATAATCAGGCTCTGGTAAATGTATTTCACGGCGTTTTTTCGATGCCATTTGACCGCCATTCATCACGTGGCCATTGAGCGTTGAATTTCCACGGGACTTTCGGCCATTCAATTTATCGATGTATCGTAAATAGTTCAATTGCTGTGCTTCATAGTGTCGCTTTCGTTCTTCGAATAAAGCGGCCGCTTGATTCTGTCGATGAGTCGAATCCTTTGACGGTCGATCCACCGAATTCGTTTGGTAACTGTAGTTGTGCAGTGAGCTAATCCATTGATCATCTCTGAAATGGACAAGTCGAAACTATTAAATCCGGCGAATGGATACTGAGAATATTGACAGTTGAACTAACTTGTCTGTGTATGGACTACTTTGATGATTTTGAGGCAACTTTTTGCGCATTGTTCCGTTTGGTGAAACGAACATTGGATTCGAAATGGCCGCTTTGATGCGATTGTAATCGGATATTTTGAATGTTTGTGTGAAGAAGTAAATGCACAGCACAATATTAATCAGCCAAATGGTGTATCCACGCAGTGCCACGCTCATCATTATGCCGGCTGCTGTACGTGCCGCCACGACCAAGTAATGTGGCTGCGCCGTGCTGGCCATGTCGTCGACTGGAATACCATGAGACTCATGCTGTTTTTGTTTTGTTTTTTTTTTTGAAAATAAGTTTGGGGAGGAAAGAAAATTGCGAATGAAACAATTATCCCTTTTATTTTAAATGAAATGAGATATGCGATCAATGATTCAAAAAAAGTACCTCCTTAAAATAAACCTTACCCTCAATGTGTCATAATCAATTCCGAAGGCAACGCCCAGCCCCAAATCCATAATCGATATGCCAACCGTTAGGAAAATCCAAACGAATAGAAAATAGTTGGCATTTCGAAGATTTACATAACGAACACCTACCATGAAGAAGTGATTGAGCAATCATTAGCACTGATTATGAATATATTAACGCAATGTCACACACATACTTGTTAACAGTGTTATCGAGCTGATAAGCCACAACGTTGAGATAGCACAATAAACCCACATGCAAATGTGTATTTGCAGTGGTTTGATTAGATTTAGCCGATTAATCGAGTTGAAATCGATGTTTGGCATCCCTGACTGTGGACATGGACCTGTGAAAATCAACAACCATAATTAGCACACATTTGTATTTGATGTTGGTTCTAAAGGAAAAACGAATGCAAATTACCGTGAAAATACATGTGGAAAAGTGTTAACTCGGTTAGAGTACCGAGCGATGCAATCATGCCACGAAAATTGAACACACAAAAATAGGCGAGAATCGCCATAATTGACATTGCAATCCATATTAGCGACTGTAGCTGAAAATTAGCACAAAATTATTTTATTGAGGTTGGACCGTTTGAGATGACTTGGTTCTGGTTGTTGTTGTTTTTTTCTTTGTATTTCTTTTCTGTCTTCTTCTTTTGAATGAAAACACGAGCAATAACAGGTGAATGTGTGCGTCTATGTTTACGTAAACGAGTAAATATGTGTAACAAAACATCGTAATATGTAGGTGAAACGACGGCGTATCATTCAACTCCAAAAACAAACGTTTTAGTTACCGTCAGAATCAATTAAAAAATATCAATTGAGTGAGTGAGTAAGTGAGTGACGAAGAGCAGAACACAGAGAAAAAAACTGAACAAATAAGTAAGTATTACACGAAGTGTGGCGTGAATTCGATTGAATATGTAACAGTAACAATACACATGAGTCATTTGCATGGAAACTGAACCGAATTACCGAAATGTAGTGGTTTTTTTTGTCTAAAATTCTTTATACAATGGAAAAAATAGTTTACGTTGGCAAACTCATTTTGCTGTAGGTACCAAAAAAAAATCCAAATCGCTTTTCGAGGCAACTATAAAAATGTGAATATCTTAGAATGAAAATGTACTCAGCCGCTTTATATCCCTTATCCCTTTTATTTTTCTCAATTTACGTCTTATTGGTAATCGAAGGCTTCGGGTACGTAGAAGATAGTCAAATAAGCTTTCGAGCTTCTTGAGTTCCACAAACTCATTTCCTTTTTATCAATTAGCTGTACGTTACCGCTAATGAAACGAAACACATGCATTTCATGGCATGAAATCGTCTAGAATCGGTTAAAATCAGTTAGTTCGGTTTCCATACAAATGACTTTTGTTCGCAGGTACTCAGTTATAATTCATTTTTTATTGTTTATTTCGCTAACTTACGATGCCAATGGTTCCAGCGAACACAACGAGTGGTCGTAAAAGTCCATACGATTTATACATTTCACCTTCAACAACACAATCCTTTAATCGCTATTCGTCTACTGTCGTTGCTTTTTGCAGTGCCGTTTTTATTATTATTATTTTTTTGCGTCAAAAAAAGAGCACAAAATAAAAGAGAATTAATTCTATCACGCGTGTTTCTTTATCTTTTGTAAAAATAACTCAATTCACAATTGTGTTTATTTAAAAAAGGACGCGTTTGAATTGATCGCCATAATTACTGCGTCGACAATGTGATCACCTGGATACAATGCACACACAACAGCAAATTCAGGCATTGAATCGATTTATTAATTTTTTGCCAGACTTTTCGTTTGTTCGTGTTCCGATCAATATACCATAGAATTCGGTAGCAGCAGCTCTATTTATCTTTTCGCGCACCATTCGAAAGACAAATGACAACTGATAGCACGTTATTTCGATGTGTTGTTGCAAACAGCAGTTCAATAAGCACCAAATTATTATTCTACATACGACGAGAGCGAGGCAGAAAAAAAATATGTCCAAATATTGCACATGTGTGGTGGGTTATTCTTGTTGGCATCCACCGTGTCGCATCACGACAGCATTGCTATTTTATTGTTATCAAACTCAAAGATTGTACACTTTGCCGTGTGTGTGTGTGTGTGCTCCTTGGCTTGGTTGCCTTGCTCTTTCGCACAAAATTCAATCGTCAAAAATTCGTTATTCAACACATGATTATCACATCACAAATAGTTCAATTGTTTCACTAACTTTTACTTATGATTGTCAGAACAATAACCAGAATATTGCTGCTTTTTCCCCTTTCATTTCTATCTTTCAGAATGGTGCAGCCGCTTACGAATTGAGCTCGATCGCCGCCATAATGCGAAGGCAAATAAGCAGCGAAGGCACATTTCGATATGCCGACAGTTCGGAAAAAAAATGTTTGAAACACTGAATGATTTCTAGACGCTGGTTGAAAACGAACGAAGAGTGAAATGAGAAGAAGAAAACGAAAACACACAGCTTAAAACATAAAAATGGGGAAACGAAGCTAGTACAATTCGATATTGACAATAGGTAGATAGAAACAATACCGCCATCGCGCGCGCAGAAAGAGAAATGTGCCACCGCCGTCGCCGTTTGTATGGTGATGTATTTTTTGCAGTCTGTGTGCGCGCGCACGATGATGACAATAATCTTCACATATGCTACGACGACGGGATGATTCGGTGAGTAAATACGCGAACACAAAACACACACATTTGTCAGATGTATTAGCCCCGGCCGACCGTTTTCTGATTTGTATTTTTGAAGAATGCTTCGCAAAGAGTTGATAATAAGAATTAATTCAATAATTCGTCGAATCACTCAAGCTTACACTTGTTACAATCGCTTCGACATGGGTCATGACATTGGGGGTTTTACACTCTTTTTCCTCTCGCTCCAAATGAATTTGCATCGATCTAATCGCGGTCCATCACTTGTTCGATTTTCGACATTCGGCGATCAACCTAATTACATGTTTTTTTATGGTATACCAACGTATTTAAAGCAACTTCCACATCTCTCACATACACAATACAGCTCTGCACATTTTCATGACAATAAACATATCCGACATATTCATAATCACATATCACATACAAAAATATGCCCTAGACATTTCCAGTTCTACGATCAATAACGTTATCTTTTTCAAATAATGAAAATAAATCAAAATCCATAGCTTCGATCGGTGATTACAGTCATCGTTTGATTGCAACGAAAGTGAATCGTATAAACAAGAGCTTAACAATGAACAACAGCCAAATGCTTTTGTTTTGCCTGATCTGATTTTAATGGAAGAGAGCACAATGAAAAAAAAAACGTTTCTTCGGTGTTGTTTTTGGAGGAAAGCAGCGAATCGCGTCAGCAATTGTCGAGATTTTACTTGCAACTTAGTTTCATTTTTCAGTCATTATTATTCCCGTTCAGCTCACGGGACGTGACCATGAATCATGAGAATTTTTGCAAATTGCAGTCGTAGAACCATTTTAGAATGTGTGTCGTATGATATTTGTACAAAAAAAATTGTTGCTTCTGCTGCTGCTGTCGTTGTTGTTGTTGATTCATTTTATTTATGACAAAAGCGCTCAATTATCAATTTGCCACAGCAGACAGAGAACGAACGAAAATAGTAAGAGCTATGTTTTAATACTTCGTGATATCAACGCTTGGTGATTTTGTGTGCATGTCCTCAAAATTACGCTATCGGTGATACCCTTTGATGGGAGCGAGAGAGCAAGGGAGCGACGAGATGACAACAACAACGGAAAAAATGTGCTGCCGAATCGCGCACAAATACAAAACAGTCGCCAAATAAGAAAAAAAAACGCAGGTAAATTGAGAAAAGAATGACAAAAAAAACCGTGTGTTCGGGTTAAGTAAACATCATTGTGACACACAGACATCACAAACATTCATTTTATCATCATCTGGCCGAATACAAAATCCTTTGTGTGAAAAAGATGAAATGCAAAAACGTTCAAAACAACGGACAGCTAAAAAAAAGCACACATGAAAATTTCGGTGTATACTGTGGTGAAGAGAAAAAAACACCTCAATGCGAATGAATAACAGTTCAAATATTTAATGAATTTTCTTAATAATCATCACCTTGAACGAATAGTCAATTTATCATCGGGTACAACAATGCAAAACCAGCGAATGGTAACAAAATCATATCGCAAGACTGTTCATTTCGCTTGAAAGAATCTTCACTGACCATCAACATACTCACACTCACTTCGAACACATACACATCTGCACACCAATCTTGGCGAATTTCACGAAATAGCACCGAATTACTATTACAAACGCAATGTTATCACATTCATGTAAAAGCAAGAAAAAAAAACTATTTTTTTAATTCCTTTATTCAAGATACAATCGCAGCAAACGATAATAATTCGTTTCCATAATAACTATTATATCTTTCTATATATATATTAACGACGAGAGAAATTAATTAATCATTTAGTGTGTACGAAGAAAAAAAAACAATATAGTGTACACCTAACACGTTTTTTTTATTGTTGTTGCTTTTTTTGCTTATTAATAAATAAAAATTCGAAAATGAAATTCTTCAACGGTTTATCAATATACTAGATCTTGGGTTTTGTTGTTGTTGTTGTTTTTGTTATTATTATTTGAATTACGGTAACCTAAGTTATGACTGCATGCAAAATGGAATGTCGCGCGCGTTCAATCGAAAACATTCGGTGAATTATGTATTCCAAGGGCAGATCGTTCAAGAGAGTTTTCATCTCGCACGACATTTTAGATGATCTCATCAATCCTCCGATCGACAGTTTGTGTGTGTGTGTGCGTATGTGAGCTTGAGTTTGTGTGTCTCAAATCCAATTGATTAATATCGAACTTCTGGGCCGCTCCATTCTGTAACCGTAAAACACACGAAATCCAATTGCGAAATATCGAAGGAAGTAGAACAATAAAAGCGATAGAAAAAAACATAAATGGAATGCTATGTACAACATCATCACTTACGACTTCGTTCGTGTTCTCGGCTGGTCACCGCTCCCCGTTTTGGATTAATGAATTTTTTCGCTGGCACGACACGACGACGTTCATTGCCATTCAATGGACGACCCTGTTGGTCCCTTGGCGGAAATTTCATCGTATAATCAGGCACAGGTACTGGTGGCAAATCTTCATCATCACGAAGTTCAACAAATGATTTCTTCGGTTTGATGGCATCCGATCGTCGTGCACCGCCGAAATACGACCAAGGCAATTGACTTCTTAGCTCTTCACCGCCGGTGTACTGATGAGCCGTTTGATGATGCGGTTCTTCTGATGGTGGTACATACGATGAATCCGATAATTTTTTCAACAATGACGGTTTGTGTGGCAAACGGAAATGTGGCCGTTCAATTTTCAATACTGCATCAGTTGGCATCTCCCGCCAATTGTACGACGATGACCTGGCATCCGTATCCATTTTTGATCCGCCGCCATTCGAACTGGCTGCCATGCTAGCTGTTTGTGCCAAGTGTACGGTACTTGTTGAATGGCCACTGTCATCGCTCCACGAAGACTTTTTCGATGATTTGTCTTCGTTGCTACTGTTTCTCGATATGGCCATTCGTTTCGCATGATTATCGGGTTCATCGATCGTTTCACCTTTCAATGGTTCAATGTATCGTCTGCCGATCGTTCGGCTCAAATCATATTTATCCTGTTGATAGCTCATATTATCATACTGATACTGATGATAATAGCTTGGATCACTGTATCGACTGCGTTCCGTTGAGGGAAAATGACTCTGAAGACGGAGAGAAAAAAAAAACAAAATTAAAATAATGAAAATTTGTCGTGTAAACAAATCATTATGTAAGTGTACAATACACCTCATTTCTTGCAAGTACCTCGAGTATGTTGTTATTTCCGTGTGCGTGACTGCGAGCATATTGAAAATCACGCTCATCACTAGCCTCTGCCGTCCGTTTGCTGCCATACAGGATGTTTTTCATGTATGCCAACACAATCGGTATGCTGAGAATGTTGAAGCACCAGAATATGAAGCCACGTCCAGCGACAATTAGCATTATCACAGCCGGAATCGGTAGAATATTTGCGCTAATCAAAAGCGACGCAAATTCGGTGGATGTATTTTGCATTTCCATGTGGTGCACGAACGATTCTGTATTCTATTCACAATCAAACAAATTTATTCATCGTTTTGCGGAGAGAACAAAAGAAGATCATGTCAAGTGAGTATTTTATGTTTTTCCATACGAACCAATGTATTAAACAGATCATAGAAGAAAAAGCCGACAGCGACCACATCCAGAATCGAGGTAAGAGTGGTGAAGATGGCCCACGGCATAACAAGTAAATAGTAAGCGACTCGCTGTAAACACGCCATGAAGCAACCAACTGGAAATTTATGTATCGAAAGAAAAACAAGATTATATGCTCAATGGAATCAGTAAGAGATCAAAGGTAAAGACGTAGAGCGCGAGAACCACCAAAATTCCATTACATTTATGTGTGTGGCTTAATGTGCCAGCACTAATCAATATAATTATTGTGTTTATTGAATTGATCAAAAAAAGAGGTATGGAGGTACATGCGATCGATCATAGTACCACCAAACGGATTATAGTAATGAATTGAAATTAAACACGTTTGAATTCATGTACTTCACCGCATCGTTTGTTTTGCTTTTCGCTTTCTGGCTGAAGTCATTGGCAATCTCTCACAAATAATCGAATCATTGTGCAATTATATATTGACTTTTACATGCATAAATGCTTTTCACAGCGATTGCATTGTGCGCGCTTGCAATCACATACACACACACAAATCAGATACAACAATAGAAGCAACAGAAGCAGCAACGGCGACATGGACAAACTATTCCATTGTATTCTTCTTTTGTTAAATTTGCGTGCGTGCGCGTGCGCGCGCGTGTGATTGACAGAGAGCATTTGCTAGCCCAGCACATCAGCCCAGATAAGTGAAGTACATGTAAGTGTGCTCAAATGACAAACTCAAATATGATTGCGATAGAATGTGCTGCTGCTTACCAATTAGCATGAGTGATGTAATAATCCAAATGGTGCTGAGCGTAAGGTAGACAAAGGCTATGATATTTGTCCTAAATGCAACTTGAGTAACAGACGGCCAAATTGGTTCCGTCGGCGGTGGAATATCCGCCACAATATTCCAATCAATTCGTTGATTTAGATCGCATCGCTGATCTGAAAATAGAAATGAACCGATTATCGCTTTATTTTTGTAGCACAAACCATATGAATCCATGTGCTCGCTTCATCTTAATCCTTTCATTGTCTTTCACACATTGATTCCGATGACAATGATGAATTAAGGGTATCGCAATTTGTATAGTTCGAGTAAATAGAAACATGCTTTTGTTTGGCGTTTGGTGTTTGGCTGAAGCAGCAAAAATGCGGGTCCATTGACGAATTGGTATTTTATTTTTTCTACTTACCTCTAAAGAAGATAATATACATTAAGTACGGAATTTTGGATTGTCTCATGGGTAGTTGACAATCATGGGCGAGCAATGCCAATATGGACATTATTCCATAGGCGAAACCTTGAATCTGTCGGGAGAGAGGAGAGACATAAACGGAAACCAAATATTAGTTCAAAATAGAAACAATAGCACAACACATAGACACATCGATTAAAAAACGGCGGTGGCCACACAAATGCTTTATTTCTAATTCAATAATTTCGGGTTCGGGTGTCATGCATCAATTAATTGCGTACGCGCGCGCTCGCGCACATATCGACAATCCCGCACACACCTTGTGGTGACAAGTGGTTAATTGACAAATTACTAGATTCTTTTCAGTTGATTGCTTTTTGTGAGCATTGACTGATTGAATTGTCTGTTTCAGAGTTTAGTGGCGAGCATTCGGATGGTGAATCAATCGATTCCATTGCAAAGTGTTCTCTCAATGTCACGTCTCATTTAACGAACAACGCTGTGAAATTCCAACAGGGAAACGGATCTGAATTTCAAAGCAATCTGTGTGATAGTAGAGGGGGCGAATGTTTGTTTCTGCGGTTTTTGATTTATTTACAAACCGTTTACCAGGAACAGTTGAAAGAAAAGAAAGACAATGTGTAGTACAACAACATTAGCCTGATAAAATGTATGTCTATTTGCAATGCGATTAAATGTGTTTTTGATAAGAAGAAGATGTTTATCAGCCGGGATTTTACATCAGTGCGATAAACGTTCGTACATATTTTCATTTAATTTATTCGTAATCTGTTTTCCATTATATGCAGAGAGATAAGTGGTTTTGCTTCTTTTTCTCTTCTTGTTGATAACGTCACCCACAATTGTGTCACGTTAGAAATGTGCACAGCAATTTATTGAAGCCGAAACCATCCAATGCTTGTGAAATGGACAAATATCCAATTTATGAATGAAATGTTATACTTACAACACACCAGATGGCGATTAAAATCACAATAGCCCGCGTAGCCATGGTCGATTGAACCGTTGAACAATTTAAACTAGAAATTGAAATTCACTTGCAATCGAAAGAAAACAAAAACAAAACAACGACGGCACATGAACACTAAGAGGGACAAAACTAAACGAAATGATTGAAGAACTTTTTATGATTATGTATTTTACACTGGCTGGTAAAAATGTTTCAATGCATCACATCACTGCCGAAAATGTGTCTGTTCGGCCAAAGCCATCTAATCATTTCATTACTCTTTGCTTCTTTTTCACACTGAATCTCATTCAATTCATAGATGCACACGATAACCGAACGAAAACTCTCACAAAATTCCACCAATTTCGTTGAATCACTTCTGACTGCTTGCTTGTTTATGATAATCGATATTCACATTTACCCGAGAAATGTGTCGATAACACTACGTAATTATTTGTCGATGAGGCACGATTGAATTCTTCCGTTAACCACAGCACGTTGATGGTCCAGTGCTGATTGGCGACAAGAACGAAAATTCGGCAAACTGGTGAACTTGATGGACGGTTGATTCGATTGGTTTATGCGCAAACAGTGTTGTTATTTAAATGACACAAAGCGGCACACAGTTCGAAATCGTCTAATTGAAAAGAGCGTTGCGCATTATAAAGCCTATGTCTATGGCCCGTTTGTTGCGATCGTTTCGGGAAACAGGTGAGAAATAGTACTCTCTACACGGACATCAACAGCTCTCATACACACACATTTGCATATCAATCGCGTCCGTCCAAAATGTGATCATTGTTTGGCGGCAGCAATGCGAAAGAGTAAGGATTTGTTCAGTCTGAAATTACACGAGAGAAAAAAAAATTAATATTTCTTCTTTACTTTAAATGACGCGAAAAAGAAATAAAACAAACAAAAAACCCGAATTATTTGAAATATGAAATGAAATGAAACACGTATCGCACACTTGTGCACAGTAATAAATAAATGAAAAATTTAAACGATGAAACAAAATAAAAATGTGCGCCTTTCTTGTTTCGATTGTTGTTATTGTTGTTGTTTTTTATTTTATTTTTAATGTAGTGATTCACACACAGAGAGAGTAAGCGCAGCTCTCACTCTGGAGGAGTGTATCTTTATGATTGTAGCTGTATCTCGTCAACGACACCGTCGCCGCCGCCGCCGCGAATGTGAGAGATATGTGTACATGAAAAATTATTGCTTATTTTGCGGTTGCCATTGCCGCTGCTTGTTCGACTTCACTAGGCTGCCGCTCGGTATCGGTATTTTTTTGTTGTTGCAGGCACGATTTCATATCTTACAATAATATTGTGTGTCACCACACACAAGTTCGCAGTTCTTTTTTTTTCATTTGAATAATAATTTTTGTTCGTTTTGGGTACCGTTTGCATTGCGATTAACATTACTTTCGGTTTATTCCTTAATGTGCGCGAATGCTCATACACAATCAAACAACGTGTGCAAACTTTTTTAATTAGCTGGGACGGGCTCATCACCCTTTCATTCTCTCTCTCTCTCTCTCTTTCTCTCTCTCTCTATCTATCTTTGTAAATGCATTATTCGGCCGCATCGTTTCAATTCTATTTTATTTATTGCACAATACAAAATAGCTTTTTTACGATTTGTTAAGCGATAGCCGCTGTTTGTGTTGTTGTTGCCTTCTATTCCATTTCGACCGGGGCAGAAAAAAGAGGTAGAATGCAGATTTTCAATGGACATTTACTTGTATTATGCACCACTTGTCGAAGAATTCATTCACTATAGAAAATTGTACACAATCGTTTGAATCAATGACGAAATTCGATACATGAAACACTTGCGCACACACGATATGTTCTTGTTGTCGTTGGTTGTGTCGATTGCACTCGCTTCAATCACTCGTTCACTTGTTCGTTTATAAGTCGCGAGCGCGCTCGTACTCGCACGCTTGTTCACCGAACGACAGAAAAAAAAACCAAATACAAAATAATAACAACACACACACACATTGGATGGCGTGGCGCACAACGCAATTAAATCGTCTTATCCAAAATGTTCCATGTCCCAACTTGGCAGCAGAAAGGAAAAATAAAACACACCGTTTTTTTTTCTCCAAGCCGTTTGGACCGTCGACTTTTAATTTGTTGGGTCATTAAAATTTACTTAAAATATTAATGTGTGTAATTTTTGTCACCGGTTTGGTTTGTTAGGATTGCGGAATGTGTCAATTAAACGCAATGTATTACTTTAAGCATAATTCATATATACGTGCGATTCCAAGGTGGATGGTCAAGCGATGGAAAGAGAGAGAGAGAGAATGCCACAACAGCAAACCAACCGATTGGAATCCATTAAAGTCAAAATTGAAATATGTATGCACGCTCATTCGTTCGTTTGTTCGCTGGTTCAATAGTATGTTGGCTTTTTTGTTTGAAATTCTCCTCCGTCATCGTTTTTCATGTCCCGCACTAAATCACAATTACCTGTCGTACTGTTCACAGCTCGTTGTTTACTAACATAAATGATTTCGTTTGTCTATCTATTTGTATGATCACAAAATGTACACATCACGCGCAACAACCGAAATAAATCCCCGAAAATGAAAACACAACCAGCAACAACGCACAGATTTCGTGAAGATTGGAAGCAATTCAAAGACAACGGACAACATACAAAATCCGAAACATGTGTGTACGTGCATCAATTAATGCGAGCGCTAATACTGAACAATTTCGACTTACGAAAAGTAAAATATATAAATTTTATTATCATCGTTTCAGTATGCAAATGTTTACATTTTTTCGTTTTGTTTCCACTTTGGCAATTCCCCGTTTATTGTGGTTTCGAATTGGAATTGGGTTGGTCGCCGCTAAGTGTGAGAACGCGTGAGAGAGTGCAGGGTGCTCCAGTGAGCAAAACGAACGAATGAACAAGAGCGGGAGGAAGAATAGCGAACAAGGCTGAAATCTTATCAACGCGAGCGAGCGAGAGAGAGAGAGAGCCAATTTCAAATACAAATATTTCAATTCCAATGAAGATCCCAACTCACATATCGGTTTCTGTTGTTAATATTCTATTGTGTGTACGGAAAAAAAAGAAGCCATTATTTGGCAAATTTAAACTTTTTTATACACAGATTTTGTATTTCACGATGCGATGTGCTCAATGCCTCGCCAAACACTGGAGTTTATCGCCTGTAAACATGACGAATATTTATTGCTTGATAACTTGCTTGGTATAACATATATATTTATACACTTTGGAATGAAATTTTATTGTTTGAATCACAAGCCTTATTGATTTTGATATTTGCTGATGCGATCCGTTTGTTTTGCTTTTTTCGTTGCAACTCAGCACTAGCTACCGCGATTAAACATATGCACGGACCGAAAAACAAAAATGATTGCTGAACGACTTACAACAAAACCAATGCCGGATAAACACAGCACCACCAAATGGCTAACGTTATTACATCATTGCCGGTGAATGTTTCTTAATAAACAATTTTTCGCACATACACACACGCACACACTCACACACTAAATCTGAACTGGCAAATTAACTTTTTCCCTTCTTCTTCTTTTTTTTTAAATTTCTTGTTTAGTTTTTTTTATGGACCAAAAAATTTGATTGAATCAAAAACTGAATCTTAACTAATTTAAACGTATACGCAATATTTCTGTGAACCATCAGTCAGCCAGCCAGCCAGCCGTACTTTCAATTTGGAGCGATATCTATGAATATCACCTATGTGAGCAAAAAATTATGTTTCAAAAAAACTAAAAAAAAAGGTTAGTCCACTTAAGCGCACAAATTCAATGCACCAAATTGTTCGAGAGAACGATCTCGTGCACGTCTGTAGTCTGACTACTTGGAAAACTGCTGCTCCAAAACACTGATGTGTGTTTACAAGAACACTTATAACTGTGTAATTGCCATGAACACACGTACCGGACCGAACGACCGACTGACTGATCCGCGTCTAGCATCAGAATTACACGTTTGCAATGCACTGACTGAGCTCTCAGTACTTTTTAACTACTCGGTCGCATAATGTACTTACTTTACACGAAAAAAAAAAAAAAAAAAAAAAAAAATAAAAACAAAACTATATAGAATACGGTAGATGGGCGCACGCTCGCAGATATTATCAACGCTTCACCAACCACAAAACGAGCAAAATGAGAAGAAAAAAACACAAGCACACACACATACACACACACACACACACTACCTTTAATAATAATAACAGCAATAAATAATATAACCGAAAAAATGGCAGTTAGACTCTGTGGATGAGACTAGGTAGAAAAGAGATAACAAAAAGTGTTCGTATTATAAAACACACGTGATGCACTGCAGCAGAACATACATTTATAATTACTGTATTTAATGGTAACCACCGATGATCGACTTTCGAATGTCTAAGCATTTGTTTGTGTCTTTTGTCCGAATGCCGATCTTCTTTCTCGTTTGCTTCTTCTCTTTATTCGTTTGACGATCCGAAATAAACAACGATGAATATGATAAACACAAAAATCACACAGTGTGGTGATTTCGGTGCAAACGATAACGATTCTTTAAATACGGTAGTAGTTGGCGGCGGCAGCGATACAGTGCACATGAAAACGAAATCAATTTTCAGAACCGTAACCAATCTTGAGTAAGCAGAAATACTTATCGCAACGAAAGTATTCGTTCAAAGGGGTAGAAAGAGCGGAAATAGCAATTTGATGAAAAAGCAGTTTTTTTTTTCAATTCGTCATCGTCGATAAAAATGTCAATGCGTCATTGAAACAGTCAATAGTGAGTGTGGGGCAAAGATTCTCAAGTCTCAGCTCAACAAATCATTATTGATTGCTGATCATACTCTTACAATATTCGGAGCAAAGGTTAAATTCGAGGGCATGATGCGATTGATGGGAATCTATTTTCCCTCTATCTCGCTTTATCTCCTCTCGTCATTTTTTCAGCCGAGAGAAATGTGTTTCAATTACTAAAATATTGTGACAAATCGAAAAAAGCAAACAAATGACATAAATTCAATGTCGAAAATTAAATAAACACACGTCACACGTCACAAACAAGATCGAGTGAGAGAGAAAAAATTTGTGCCTTGGTCCGTCGTTTCTCGGGTAAACAATGTGTTTTTTTAACGCTCTCTGAGCGTTGGACACATCGTGGACGCAAATTCACTTGCGATGTGAATTAGTGCGATTTTTAGCAGTTTCATTGAAACAAATTTCATTGACGCATAAAGTTGCAAAAAGTCCAAACTGAAGCTTGGATATCATACGTACCTATATATACATGTTCGTGAAAAGTTCGTGTTCGGAATTATTAACAATCGTGATACTCTCTTGATGTCAATTGAATACAACACATTGTCAAGTACATATTCAATTACGAGACCATTGCGTTCCCATCACCATATAATTCCGCACAGCGAAAACAAAAACACTCTTTCTCTCTCTTCTTCTGTGTGTGGAATCGGATGCACAAAGTACAAGTTGCTCACATTGTTGTGTTTTGACATGGTGGATGTGTTGTTGGCAAATGGATGTAAAAAAAATTACATTCAACAAGAGAAATAAAAAAAAAGATAAATCCAGTAAAAATACGAGTGAACGAAAAAAAATCATGTCTATTTTTTTGATATGACCATGAATGGAGCTTCAATTTTACATGCACGAGATCATTATTCGCTGTTAGTTACAAAAATAAACGACTTCGGCTGACGGTTGCTGCTACACATTTATATATGAACATGCAAACGTGATTCGATTTATCGTGGATGATTATCTCATACGCGATGATCTAATTCTCAATGCGTCAATTTTTTGATCTCGTTGTTTATTAGTTTGGATTTATGTATAATATACAATTAGCACGTTCAATAATGATCACATGTTTTATTTATAAATGGTGGCATTAATTAAAAGAACTTGCGACTTTTATTTGCATTGGCTGAACTTGACTTGAAAAGAAGATGTAAAAAAAACCAAAAAAAAAAAATCGAATTGAGACATTGACTCAATGTTGATGTTGAAGTTTTCCGTGGCTCAGCATATTTTCCAAACCACTGACAAGTAGAATGAAGCGAATAAGTATTTGGAATGAGCTAATGAATCTTAAATACAAGATTAGCATAAATAAACACAAAATAATTGGATTCCCTGATCAATTTAGTTTTTTTTTCTCTATTTTTTTTATTGAACTTATTTCATGCTTTTGACTAATACATATGTAAAAAAAAATGTCTACTATATCGAACGCCTCTGGTATTGACATAGGTATATCACTTCAAAAGCATCTTTACGTATCACTTCGTTGGTCGCATGTTTTTTTTTCTCATCTTTGTTTTTTTTCCGTCGAATTTTATAATTTACAATTAACATTCAATTTGTATCATCAATCTCATTGTACAAACTATTTAACAAATAGCAGATTCGAACTACCTTCGATTCGCTATGGTTACAAAAAAAATGGACAACTTTTCGCCCAAACATGGTAATCGATTTACCGAAGAAAAAAATTACCAAATCTATAATGTGCTCGCACATCATTTCCAGCGTGTTCCTGCATGCAGTTTTTCGTTCGTTGTCGTTTCGTTTAGAATTAGATTTGTTTGCTATATTAATAAATAAAAGCCTAGACTTTATGAAATGCTGGGATTAAACCTAATTTGGGGAACGTTTAAATAAATTGGTCCGAAGATCTATGCGCACAGTCTCTTAAATGGAACTCATATAATAAGATATAGGAATAATATGAGAAATGTGGAATAGCTTATTCGTCATCGGGCTCGACCGGAGAGTTGGCGTCTATCAATATGGGATTTGTTCCGTTTAAGCCGGGAATCTTGGCAATATCTGCTGGATTCAAAATGGTACCATTTTCGGTGATGCTCGGCCGATGGCTCAAATTGATGAACGAAGTATCGCTGTGGGTGATGTTGACAATTGTCCCTGTCAGCGGCAAAGTGCTCAGGATGTCTGTTGCATTTTGAATGGTGCCCAAATCGATTGGTGCAATTCCAGTCAACACCTGTCCAGTCACGTTTGTTTGCACGGGCAAAGGAATTTGCCCCAAATCAAAATGACTTCCATTTGATTTTGCGTCGAAGAATGTTAAGTCAACGCGTTCGTGGCTGTTTTAAAAGAACAAGATGACAATTTTTCTTATTTTATTATCATTTTCAAAGATTTAGATTAAAATGCAGTAGAGAGAAAGCAGAGAGATTGAAGTTGATTTTTCAGGAAAAGAAAAGAGGACGATTTTTGAAAATGAAATAAAAAACATACGAGTAATTTTCTTCGGATGATGTTGCATTTTCATCGGCTTCCGTCAAAATGCCAATTTCATAAACCACTGCCTTTATTACATATCTGAAATGAACAATGATGGAAATCAATCAAATGAAAATTATCTCGATTTTTTTTCCCTAAATTTCTGGTAAAATTTGATTTGAAAGAAAAACAAAGGTAATCAAAACTTACAGATCTTTTTTGGTTCCATTGACAGTCGCGTTTTCACCAGACCCTGATTCCGATGATTCGGCTGAAGAGGTTGGCACCTGATCGGCATTGATCAGTTCGGACAGTGGAATTGCATAGATGTTGCAGTTAAAGGTTAACATTATAGCAACAATGATGGCACCGCACAATTTCAAACCCATTTTTCAAATTTATCTATTTTCTAATTTTCCGATACGAATAAATACGTTCAAAAACGAATTGTTTTCTATCACAACTGAATCGACTTAGAATTTTGTCGCTTTTACTTTATTTTTTTTTTTACTATCCAAAAGTGGAGCAATCACTTCGTGAGTCTCTCCTCTTTGCTATAAAAATCTTTTGGCACTGTTGAGTATTTCGCGTATGCGTTGTTTAAATGATCATCACACGAACTTTTTCGACCAAAGACTGATGCCGTCGTCCATCGATGATCCGTCTTATATAGGCGTTTAACATCGATTCACTAATTTGCGATAGCTAATTGATGACACTTGTCATAACACACAGCCCAAGCTCCCAAGAAGATCAATAACAATAATAAATTACACATGCGATTTGAAATCCGGAATTTATGTGTTTTTTCGTTGTTGATTATGAATACGGCGACCGAGCAATGTGCGAACTGAATTCATTTTCGCGGCGGCTGAAGTCAAACAATGCAAATTTTGTGTTTGCGAATTCGAAATGTGATTGGCGCGTTGTCATTGATTTCGAGGGGATAGTGCCGTGTCGCCGAATGAGGAAGATGATCCTAGTAACAAACCGTTTCATATAATTAGATCATGAAATTGCTTTGGACTCAATTAAATGCGATCAAAATTGATTTTATTCCGGATCAAGATCTCAATTTATTTGCAGATTCAAACAATGTCTCCAATCGCGGTTCTTTTTTCATTTCAAATCGATTTATGACATGCTAATTATAATTTCAGAAAATATGCAAAACAAATTATTGTGTTTTTTCTCTGATTTATCAAACAACAAAAAATACGGTTTATTTACTCAATTATCTAAATGAGTGTGCCGTTTTTTTGGGGAACTTTGTACTTTTATGAAAATAAACTGATTAGCATGCGGAAATTGGCCGAACTATGAGCGCATATCCATATTCTAGTAAAAAAATTCTATTAACATGCATAGAACATTCCATAGTATTCGTATCGACGTAAAATTCAATTAATTGTCACACCTCCAAGATTGAAAAAAGTATTTATTTGCAATAAAAACTGTGATTCATGACACCAGAAGCTAACCACATATACATTTGAACTTTAACTTTTAAAGCTAACCCCGTAGCTGACTTTTTCAATAGGTTATTTCGATGTTTGTCAAAAATTTGGCTGGTTTATTCCGGAGAAATTGAAGTATTTGCTTTCTAATACCTCAAAATGCGCAAATCAAACAAATTTCTTTCGTTTTCGTCGCAATTTTTTTCATCATTTTTTATTTATCCACATGCAAATTAGTGTCTTTCTGCCTATACCCATGCCGGCGAGCGAGGTCAGACACGACACGGCGTGCAATAGCCATTTACCCATTGATCATATGTCCTCATCATCCTTATCGACATCACGTATACCACACTGCTGCTTGCACATGCCGCATGAATCAGTGCAAATACTTTCAGCATATAGCCTTCGACGTTATTCTCTTTTTTCTATACTTTTTTTGCAATGTGTAAAATTAAATTAGCTAAAATTTGAATCGTAGTGTGCCAGCAGTTGAAGATATTTTCACCCATGAGTGAAACAATATATTCAAAGCACATGAGCAAAAAAACACGGCACAAATAATTCCGTTCCATGCAGACGCGCGTCGACCGAAGATTGAAATTTTCCATTGTTTACATTTTAAATCAAATGTACAAGTTAATCAAAAAGAGAGAGAGAGAGAGAGAGAGAGAGAGAGAGAGAGAGAGAGAGAGAGAGAGAGTGAGAAACGTCCATCAGTTTTTTTTACTCTGTCCTAATTGACACTAAATTGTTAAGAAAGCAAGGAAAAAAACTCAATCTTAAATTTAAATTGTGCGGATTCGTCGTGATTTAAATTAAATACACAGTGCAGGCGTTAAGCCACTTAGTTTGTTCTACATTCGCAATCGCAAATGCATTTATTTTAAACTAATGCTGAATCATTGCCAAAGAAAAGCTTTGAACATGTTCAATCATCCAATGAGCAACTTGTGTTATCACAAAGGATTGGAAACCTTCGATTCCTGTGCATTGCAAATATATGCTAAATTTGGCATGTTATAAGACACTCAATTCAAAAAGGAATCAAATGCAAATATCTGTTAACTTGAAGCGATGCGACGCATGTATCATTTCATAATTTGAAAATTGTCGATCGACTTTTTTTTCGACGTGTTTTCTTTCGTGTTTCTACGCTAAGCAATGACCACTGGTGTGTTCCTTCGCAGTCAGCCAATCGTAGCATGTTATAAACGATCTTTGGTGCTAAAAACATCTGAAAAGATTTTAATTAGCACTCCATGGGTTCGATCTAAGTGGTTGTTCTTCATATAAATAGCTGCGATCGATAGAAAATCCATTTCATACCAAAACTCGTGCTCTCGACGATTACACCAGCCACGAATATTACCAACGGAATAAGTGTCAAATTGGAATACTTGAAAATTACCCAACTAATAAGCCATCGCTGCTGCTGCCGCCGCCACTGCTGCAATGAATTCAGTTTTGGTAAGTGTTTGAAAGATTTGCCAATATTTCTGGTTTAGATAGTAATCGTACTGATTGATAATGGTGTAATATCTTTCGCAGATTATATTTAGTGTAATTGTACTAGCGAATGCAAAACCATCCGATTACAATGATCAGTTTGGCGATGCAAGCACGAGTGTGAGTGGTGAAAGTGACGAACAATCCAGTATACCAGACACATATCCCGTTTCAGTTTACACAAAGTATCCCGATGATCCAAATGATAGTTATAAGGTGTCCGATGAAGACGAATTACCTCCACTAGAGGAAACAGAAGAAGCAAGAGTCCGACGGCAAACAACGGATTGTAATGGGACCGATCCATCGATAGATGTAAATAAACAACTGGGCCTAACAGATGATGTGAAACGGCCGGAGCGAAAAATCGAGGATCAATCCAAAATACCATTGCGTGGATTCATCAGTGCTATTGAATCGGATTTATTTTCGAGAGCACTCAATGTGAATTCAAAATTACGTCGAAGACGATCAACTGAACGAATTGTGGACGACGATGACGTTGGCGACAACGACGATGATGATGATAGTAAGGAAATCAAAAACAACAACAATGTCACCGATGATTCCGTGGATGTGAACAAAAACTTTTTCGAGGGTTTATTCAATTACACACGGCCGTTGCGAGAAACTGAAGAGAAAGACGTGAGAATCCCCTTAAATGGTCTAGTGAGTGCCGTCGAAACGTCGTTGGTTAACGCCGCGCTAAATCTAAAAGATGCAAAACATTCAAAGCGTGAAGCATCCAACGGAGAAAATCCGGAATCAAGCACCGAAGAACCGAATGAATCGCATCGCATTTATCGTGACACTACCGACGATCAGGAGCCTAAGAAGGAACCCGAAATTAAAGTGGCTAAACTTGACGCTACAAGTAGCGTGGACTTGCATTTATTGAATCCGATTGCATTGAAAGCAGTGACCGTGACCACAGAGGAGCCCAACCAGAGCGGCGAAGAAGGAATTTCCACCACCGAAAATCCAATTCAAAGCACGAATTTAACTGTAATTCAAGCAAGCAACAAAGTGAGTTTAGTTCCCGGCGCTGATAAAAAACTAGCACATGTTCAACATCAAAAAATATCCAAGACCGTATTCCAATCGAGTCTGGCGATATTCCCAACCATTCCACCGAGTTCCATAAACGCTCCATTGCCACACTTCACAACAACCGAAGAGCCAATCGAAACAACAGTCGCACCCAAAACAGATACGTCGTCATCGACCACCGTTAAAAGTGAACAACAACAGAAGCATGATCAATTGTTGCAGAAAGCACAAAAGCTTAAAGAGAAATTTGCCGAAATTGCAGCCGAACCAGTCATATTGAGCCAATTCTAAATTGATAAACAGATAAAGAAACAGAACAAAAACCGTGGCCGCAACATGACCTATTACAATAGAGACTGTTTTTTTTAGTACCGATCGATAAAAAAAATGTATGTATCTCGAGAATTTCAATTGTTAGTTGTTTTTTTCTCTCGTTTCGATTTTATATATAAACATATATGTATCTTTCTTTTATAACGGTTAATATTTAACATTTTTATATTGCCATCTATATGTTTCAGTTTGTATTTCTATTTTCTATCTAATATCGCTTGAAATGATCGATTTGATCATAAATTCTTGTTCGTAAAGTATTGTGATAATCCTGATGCGACACTTAAAAAAAACAACAACAAATAAAACCATTTCAATGTTACTATAGAATCGTCATGTTTTATTCTTTTTTTTTATTATTTATCGAAATCATTTGAACTGAGGCGAACAAATAAAAGCAGCAGCAAAAAAAATTCCATCAATTTCAAGGCTTTCGAAAGCCAATTCGCACCGTTCGATAATAATAATAAGTAATTCGAATGTAATATGGAATCGGCTCAAGTCATTAGCACTTTATGGTGATGAGACATTAGTTGGCAAATGGGTTAGCATTCTTGAAAACACATATTGCTTGTTTCTGACAAACATGACACACGTGCAATAAATCAGCAAATTATTATCCACACTCAAAATGTATTTCAGGGCGAAAAACAACCGAGTTGAACGGAAATTTACTTTTACTGGTGTTATGAAGTGACTGAACGAATGTAGAGCGGGTAGGCGAGTACAATACATACTTTTTTTAGAACTGGAATAGTAAAAATACAATATTTGAGTCATAGGAGATATAAAGTCACAATATGCTCTCTATTATAACATTTTTAATAACAGTGTGAGAGATGGGCACATCGAAATGTGTATGATATGAAACAACCGTTCAGCGTTCATTCCGTTGATAATGATAAGGCCCTTATCATAAGGGAAATTACTGACCTATGGCCACAAATGAATTTATCTGAAAAGAAAGAAGAATGAATAAACAAGAAATGATAAAGAAGTCCTTCAAACGGTTGAAATTCAAACTCCGTTCGAACCGTTGGTACAATAGAAGTCATCAGATTTACGTTAAATTCATTATTTTAAATCAAATTTTATTTTTATAAATTAAAAGTATGAATAATTTACACAAACTTATGGTGAGCTTTTCATCATATCTAGAAAATTTGTCGTTCTCATTTTTCTTCTGTTGAACTAACTGCCTGTTTCATCGCTTGTGGAAATATTTTTAATTTTTTTTTCTATTTAAAATCGGGACAGCAAAAAAAGACAAAATGACAAGGAAAATAATTCCGTGGAATTTTTTTTTTCATACGAATACAATTTATATTCAAAAATAAAAGCAAACAAAACGAGTCGTTTTCAAAATGAATTCCGAACTGAAACTGATGCTTGTTGAATAATGTCTTCTTCTCCTTCTTCTTCTTCTTTTTCTTGCGTATGTGTGTGTATGTGTGGGTGTTTTTGGGTGTGTACGAATTTTGTTGGTTATGTTTTTTTTCTTCTCTCGTCAGCAATTTACCGCTTGCCACATTTTCCATACTAATCAATAGTACAATTTTAAATTCATAATTATATCAATAATAAGAGACAATAATGTTTCGTATTGTTTTTGGGTTTGTTTTTTTTTTTAGGTTTTGTTTTGTTTGAACATGGTTTTTAAACATGGGTTAAACGATTATTTCCAATGCTTGATGTCTTCTTTTTGAATACAATTTTTGTCTGTTTGTGTGTATGACGCGTTTAAATTTAAATATTTCTAGGTGTTGCATGTAGGTTTTTTCTCGTATTACAAACATATACACTATCATCATCATCATCATCATCATCAGTACAATAATTTAGTTGACCCAACGCAGCGAGAAAGAAAGAGAGCAATGCATATAATTGTCTCTCTTATATTGTTGGATACCTCTTTTGTTGCTACTTTCTTCTTCTTCTTCTTTTAATGTTTTTTTTGTAAGTTTTTTTGTTTAGATTTCGCATTTATAATTGTAATTTGCATATGCTCCTAAAATGTTATCAATTTAATTAATTTTAAATAAGTTCTTAACACTATTGTTGAATTCTTCAGCTTTAGCATCAATGTTGTTGTTTTTTTTCTTTCTTCTTTTTCATTCAATTGTAATATAGGATTTCCTTATCATCTACATTTGTAGTTTGCCTGTGTGTTTCTTTTTAATTACAGATTTTTGTTTTTTATTTCTTTTCAACTTAAAGAGCGCTGTGGAACGGTGATTTTATTCACAATCATTTGCGCAATGATTTGATTAATCTGGAAGGAAATGTGGAAAATAAAATTAGCAATCTCCTTTTGTTGTGGTATTTTCTTCTTTTTCAATTTGGTTTTCTTTCGAAAATGGCTGTTATTCACTTACCAATGATGTGACTTTCGATTTCAATTGGCCGATTATTTCGCGATGCTGGTTGAGGAGTTATGGTTATTTCGTCGTTTATTTTAAATGGTTGGTTTTTCAATATTGATGCACCAGTACCAGGTGCCATTAAACTGCTTCGACTACTGTTGCCCATGCTGCCACCGCCACCACCACTACTTGACGATGCTGATGATGCTTTTGATTTGCTGTCGTTGGATTTTTTCGCGACCGTACTGTGGGCGGAGTATACATGATTCTCAAATTGTTTGTACATGCCAAATGTGGCCGTGCACACGGTACATTTGTAGGATAAATGGGCAGGTTTTAAAGTCATATTGTGCTCTCGAGACACGTGATTCAGCAGTTTCCATTGATACATCTGCAATATGCGGGGGGAGGGAAGAAGAAAAATGCGTCAAAAATCTACAACTAATTTATTCCATTTGCTGCATTTCACAAGATTTATTGAACGACTTACCCTTCCGCAAACTGGACACCGGCCAGCATCTTTACCCTTGTTGGCAGCTTCTTGCATTGAACTCGTCACTAAACCATGCGAGCCGAGCAAATGTCGCTCGAGACCTTGATCGGTGAAAAACCGGAACTGACACTTCTGGCAATTCAGTGGTGGCCGATTGTAAATCATTTTCGGGTGAATCTGCAATGCCAATTTTTGGATAACAAACCAAATGAATGACGATTAGAATTTTTGTCCAAAAATACGTTTTTTTTTTCAATATTGAATAATCAAAACGAGTTGTGTACCTTAACTTTGTGCATCCATTGCATGTGATTTCGCAATTGATCCAAGTCCTTGATCCAACCATCACAAATTTCACAAATAACAAAGGATGCTTTGCCACCCTGGTTTTGGCCCGGTTTGACAGCAGCCGCCGCGCCCGATGGTTTGGGTAAAATTGATGTCGATTGCATTGCATTCGCGGCGGATAGGCTTGCTGTCGTTGAATGTATACTCGTCGGTTGTGTTTGTCTCGGTAATGCTGTTATCGATATACTTGGCTGTTGTGAAGTCTTCTGTGTGGTTTTTGATCCAGTAGGCTGGTAGATTGAAATGATAAGAGAAAAAGAAACAATTAAAATTGTGCCACATTTTTAGGCATTTTGGAAATTAAAGTGGATAATATGATGCATGTTGGATGACGAAACCAAAACCGAATTAAATGAATCTTCTTCACACCAATTGAAAATGGGAGTTTAGTATTTGAAATTAGTCAAGAGAAGTTTTAGTCAATATTAGCGATGTTATATCCATAAAATCTATCAATTAGATGGCATTGTTATTCTAAATTATTTATTATGTTAGCGAAAAACATATTGTGTTCGGATTTTCAGAGGAGCGAAAACGCAAACGGCCGTTAACAGAGAAAGCATTCAGACGTTAGCACTGGTATATCAAAATGCGTGTATCCGCTGAGAGAGAGTTTCACCAACCTGCACAAGATTGAATGAATTTTGAGCGTTCGGCATCAATGCAATTCCAGTACCTGGTACCTACATGTATATAATACAAGACACATACAGCGTTAGAATTATCATTTTTTATACAATTCTTTGATGTAAATCGCTGGAGGCATCGATTTATTTTTTTAGAAACAAAAGAAAAACCTTGGCATGAAACAAAACACAGATGAATGAAAATTTTTCATCGAAATATCAATATTGCTCTAAAATGCTTGCCGTACAATATTCGATAGAAAGAATTTAAGTCGACTTTGATTAAAAATTCTACATGAAATAAATCTACAGTCTGGCTATAGACAAATATCGATTTGTGAAGTCATTTTAGTAGTACACGATTTGTCTTCAATCTATGTAATGCAATCAGTGTTCTTTACGTAGCTTTACTTGTTTTAAATTCAGGTGTCTGAGATAAATGTTTGTATTATGCGTGTGCAGTGTGTACGCATAACATAAACGTATGCAATTACCTGAATGTTGTATTGTCCGGGATTTGACACTTGGAAGTTATTCGGAAGAACTACGCCTCCTGGAATTTGTGGTCGTACCGCTTGTTGCTGCGCCGCACGCATATTGTTGTTTGCGGTTGGCATCACCTTGGTGATTGTTTGTGGTCGTCCACGATTGTTCTTATTCATCGCTGCTACGGCTGCTGCATTTACATTCATTGTGGTCTGTCTTTGCATTGCGGCCGTTGCAGCTCGTTGTGCCTGCGCTGCCATCGCCTGATGGATAAAGGAAAGAATTATGGGTAAGTAATGTGTAGATGCTAAATTAGGAATAATGAGGAGCAAATTGAGCTCAATCGCATGTATTTACTTGATAAGCATTTGCAGTGCCGACGAGTCCATGTCGTGGTTTAATTCGTGGTATTTTAGCTGGTGGATCCCAATCGACTGGCGGTGCCAGATTCAATTCAGGCCGGAATTTCTTGCTGCACACCACGGCATGACGTGCCAATTTCGATCGGCCATTGTCTTCGAACAAACAGTTTGGACACTGATGATACGAAGCTGCCTTTTCCAATCGCGCCTGAATATTGTGCACAGTCTTCATGTGTAACAATATATCGTACGGTGGTTTCACTTCGTACGCACAGAAGTTGCACTTGTACAGGCTACCCTTCATGTGTGGCGTCTCATAGTGATGGGCCATAACAAGTGATGATTCCGACTTGAAATTACAGTATTCGCATCGTTTCGTTTCGAATTTGAATACATCATTTTTGCCTTTGCTCAGTTCCAAATTTTTCATCAACGAATTGATGGCCACCTGTACACTTGGTGATGCTTGATTACCCTCTCGGTTTAGTTTACGCTTTTGCTGCCGTAATAGATCCGTTTGCACATGCTCTTGCACCAAATTGATGCCAATATCCATGAAAAACTTCCCTAATGGACTGTCAAAGTAATTGTTACCGTCTTTCTTATCGTCCGATAAGCAGGTGGGGTCTTTTGTCAAATCTCGGTGTATGATATGTGTTTTGATCGAATCGAGATCAGCCTTAGCTTCTTTAATCAACACTTTTGTATCCTCAACATCCGAATCACCCTCATCATCGGTCGACATATCCGATTCGTCCCATGAATCGTCACCATTTTTGGGTGGTTTTCGCTTTTTCGTTGGTTTCTTTTCCGTAGTGGCCTCTTCAGTTTCCGACTTTTCTTCGTCTTTGGCATCTTCGGCTGGTTCCGGTTCACCTTTGTCATTGCTTGCTTCCAGTTTTTTCCTTTCTTCGATTTCAACACCCATTTTCAGAACGATTTCTTTAAGATCTTCGGATGGTGGTTTTTCATAAATGTAAGGAACTATGAATGACGGTGCTTCCAACACGAACATATCATCGGTGAGGGCGGTTAGAACGGGCGCATTCAAACCGGCCAATGTCGTCGATGTCCCGGTGGCAATCACTTGATTGTTATTAGGTACGGGTGTGATCGATGCTCGTGATTCAATTGGATAAATACCTTGGGCTGGAACACCGACCACCGGTGTGACGGATACATTTGATTTGTTCAATGCTTGCACATTTGCCGCGGTACCTCGCGACAATATCGTATTTGTGTCAATAATGACTAACGTTGGCTCTTTCGATGTACTACTATTGTTGCTCGGCACTTGGAGCTTACGAGATTCGCTAGCTAATGGGTCGGTTAATCGTGGTCGTTTGGGTGCGCTTTGCTCAAGTGGATCTTCGATTATTTCCTCGATATCATCATCGTACGCAGAATAATCTTCACGAGGCCGTACCGTACTTTTGCGATTTCGATTGACTGCCCGAACCGTTAAATCACTGTCATCAAGCTTCTTTTCATCCTCGATCACCACACAATCTTCTTTATCGCTGAGAATTTCGTGCACTTCATCCTTGCTCGGAAGCTCACTGTCTGAATCGGAATCGGAGTGTATGCTAACTGGTTTATCTTCATCACCTTCATCGCCGTCTTCGTCAAGACCAATTCCGTTGGACTGCGAACCACTCAACGTTTTGTCTTCGATGCCTTTCAATGGATTTTCAGCCGGTTTCTCTTGCACATCGTCTTCGTCTGAATCGGAAATCGCATGAATTTCATCATCGTCATCGATGCGTATGGATCCTTTTGACTGCGCTTTGTCAATATCTAAAATAAAAATGTTTTTTTTTTAAAATCATGATATCATCTTTGACGTTCTTTGAACTGTGGTTCGATATTATACTAACCTTTTTTATCATCACTACTCGTTATTGTGGCACTTGTTCCATTTTCCGTCGACTGTGGTCGACTTTGATTTGTGCGCTTATCATCATCTATGGGCTCTGCATCCGCCGACAATGGATCACTTGAGACTTTGACCGTTGAATCACTGTCTTCGACTAATTTATCCGATTCGCTGTCATCCTCGGCTACCGCCGGCTCCTCAGTCAACGCATCATCTGAAACTGTCTCTTTAATTGATTCCTTCGAATCACATTTCTCATCATTCGTATCGGCGGCACCATTTTCATGCGCCTTCGTTTCAACACTTTCTTTTCCTATATCATTTTCACTAGTTATCAACTCAACGCCATCTGAATTGCCACTGGTGTCCACTTCCATGACATTGTCACTATCGGTTACGGTTGGTGTTGGTGTTGCTGGTTTATCGGAGCTGCTGTCAGCATTTTTGGCGATTGGTTGTGTCGGTGTGTCTTGTGCGTCAACGTCCATTGCTTCATCGTCACAATTCCCGTTGATGCCACCATTCATTTTCAAATCAGCATGTGGACTGTCTGCAGAATTTGTGCCGACTTCACCCATTTGATGTTGCGCAAGCCTTGACTGCCACTCAAATTGCCTTTTTTTCCCCGTTTGATGCGTCGCTTATTATGTTCTCGATTGATACAGTTCAAATGTTGAGCTCTTGGTTGTTGTTGTTGTTGTTGTTGTTGCTTTTATCAATTCTTTCTAGGTTTCAACTGTTTTTGGGAGGCGAAAGAAAAAAGCGGAAAGTAAATAAATGAATTTGCGATGATAGTCGTTCGATGGTTAACTCTTTGCAAATGGAATTTTTTATGGGTTTGATATAATAATTATTTTTTTATCGGTTCGAAACTAGGATTGATCGATAGTCCCGGAATTGCATATAAAAGGTAATCATTCCAATCATTGGCACTATTCAACACCATATGCCAATTCGAACATTCGTTTGAATGTTAAAACCGTGTTCAACATTATATACACCGAATGTATGTGTACATGGGCCGAACACATAAGATCTTTTATTTACTCGTCACCATTCAAAACCAAGACACTCGACACAAACACACTCACGCTAAAACAGCATTCACACACATAGCCACGACTATAAATATGTATAGCATTGGGATAAGGGGACAGAGAGGAAAACACTGGGCATTCGGTATACTGTATTATGGTATATCTTTTGTGTTATGTTCGGTCTGATGACGATTTTGGTTTTTTTTTTCTCTGCTGCTGCTGCTTCTGCTTCAATAAAGGAACGAAAAAAACGAAGCAGAAGAAGAAGAAGAAGAAGCAGGGATTGTGGGAAAAACACAATGACATGTTAATTGAAGAACTTTGGAAAAAAGGATCATTCCGTGTTAAAAAATAAATGCCGAAATGATGAATTCATCATTACATATGTAAAAAAAAAGATTTTTTTTTTCTTCAAACAATTATTGTTTCACTCCGTTTGAACCATTTGAAAACAGTGTGGTTTTGCAAACAAGAATTGTTGTTCGATGGATTTATTTGTTTGATGGTTGAAGAACAATGACATCCATTGGTTAAATTGACCACTGACGATGGAATGAATGCTATTTATCAAAAAGGAAAAACTCAATACAACAAACCCTCTCCGTCACAATGTTGGACACTAATTTTGGTCGCGTTTCTACCACAATTTTCCGCATTTATTATAACATCACTTCGATGGTACAATTACCATAATTATTATGAAGATCTTTCGAATGCATACACAATTTGCAATCAGCTGATAATGCCATAAAATCAAATGCACTTCACATAGTTGTTTTGTGGAAATCAAAACAAGACAATTCTGTGAGAGACAACCGTGTTTCCCGAGAAATGGAACGGAAACGGTTACGGTACAGATAGATACAGAGAGCAACAGAGTGAGAGAGAGTTTTTCGAGTCGGGTGTCACATTCGGGTCTACTACACTCACGACAAGGCACAATTGGTTGGGTACGCCAAATTCATGAACGCCATCTTGAAAATGAAATCATGTTACGGGTTTGGGCCCCAATGCGGAGCACAACAACTGCAGCAGCTGTCGTTGCTTCACTTCACAGCAGCACAGCAAGAGCAAAAAAAAAGTACCGAGCGAACGAACGAACGACAGACACACACAGACGACCAGTTTTTATTGGCACACAATTTTTGCTGAGCACACGATCTATACTCACGATAAATGGCAACAAATGGTTCACACCAAATTACTTGAGAAGAATTCAGTAAAGAAAACCTTAGTTGCAGGAAAAAAATTTTTTTTGTTAATGCGAATTGGCAAAAAAAGCCGCTACAGCAGCCACCGCACTAAACTGCACACAATATTTTTCGTCATTAGTTTCTGTCGTATTAACTCAGTTGATATTATGTGTTTGCCCGTGTGTATTTAAAAAAAGTTTTTTTCTTCTTTTTTTTCTATATTTTAATTGAGAGAAGAGAAAAAAATAACAACTCACTGTAGGTCGGTACACACATGCACTACCACAAACGACGTGTGGCCAATACACAATTACATACACAACAAGTTTTGAGAATGTACACACACATAAGCTCATACAGTTGATCAAATCATAGCAGCATGCTTGGATAATCTTTCTATACACAAAAAAAATATATTTTTTAAGGCAATTCTACGGAAAGCAACTCATCTTCAACATTCTCAACACACACATTTCACGCAAAATTCATTTATTCGATGCATTTTAATACAAACTCCAATTGATTTACTCACTAAATGCTATTAGCATTCTATTTCGTTCGGTTGAAATAGAGTGAAACAGCGTTGACGAATGTTTTTATTAATGAACTTATTAGAGCAGTAGACGTCAAGAACCCCTCAACATTGCCACCGAAAGGAAAAAAAAACATAAAATGGCGATTGCCGTTCAGAGATCACGTGACGTACGGTTCTATGAAATTTTACCGCTCGCTGACGAACCGTTAAGCGTCGAACCGGTTCAAATAAAAACACAACACAATGGAAATTTCTAATGGAAGGAAATCAGCGCAAGAGACGTCGAACAGTGGCCACTGTTGAATCATTCGCATGATTTTTTAAATTTTCGAAAATCATCGACGAACGGATTGAATAAAAACGGCCAGCAACTTTGAAATTTCCCATTTGAATTTGAATTAATTTCAAATTAGATTTCAGCAGTTACAAATGTGACTGTATAAAATAAATACGGAATATTGTGTGCATATTCCGACTTACAAATTTTCTCGTTGGCCGTTTTTATTCAAGTTTATTGTTCGATGGAAAAATAAATTACATTTGATTTTATTCGAAAGAGAGCGACTGGAAACAAAACCAAATTATTTATATGCCATAATTTTCTGGCAACTGTCCTAGTCTATGTGTTCGCAAACTAATATCCGGATCAATACCGCGAAAGCAATCTGACAAATCAGACTGACGGCAATTACACATCGGATCACTCAACTAGCTAGTCAGTGTTGCTACGGCTGATATTTTTGTTGTTGTTGTTGTTGCTTTGCCTTTGTTTTTTTCATGTACCCAGTAACTGAAGTTGCACACTGTTGGCAATGGCACTCGTTTTTAAATTCGTCGCTCGGACGCATATTCCACTCCTAGACAACTTATTACTTCCACATTATTTTTCGATTCATATGCGATGCCATGATGGTAATTTATTTAGTTTGAATTTTAGGATTTATTTCCAACAGGATAAATTATGTGGATCAATAATTTTCTCATTGAATAAAGATCCAATTTCTTATGGTTTAATTAAATCCTGAAGGGCGGATCATAAAAATTACGAACTTATTTTGCAATCTAATAATTCTGGCGACAGTACGGAGAATGTGCGGAGAACGTAAACCGTTGCCAAATACGCAGCATATTATATTATCTGTTTCAAGAGCCAACATTTTTTTTCTTATTCGTTTTTTTTCAGATTAAAATACATGATTCTCAATTAAATCAATTAAATGATCAAATTTCCATAAGCTGACACCAATTTAGTTCTGCAAAAGCGAGAAACTTTCTGTCTGCATACATTCTTGATGCAAGTAGGATGAATAACGAATATGATTAGTTTCATTTAAGGCCAATTAATAAAAATCAGTTTGGATTTTGTTTTTTGTTTTTCATATGATGTGTCTATCTATTTTCTTAAGTTTATATGATATGCGAAAATTTTGCGCATTAAATAATTAACACACACATATATATATACATTATATGTAAGCATATATACGTGTATTTGTCTATGTGTGTGTGTGTGTGTGTGTGTCAGTGAGTGAGCGAGTGTGTGTGTGTGTGTATGGCATAGACCATTAGCGTCGTTTTGATTATGTATTTCGTATATATAGACACACTTTTTGATATTGGTATAAAATGTTAAGAGCATTGGTGGCTCAACCAACACAAAAATAACCATTTTCTACAATTACATGCGTAAGCGCCTGAGACATTCTATGTGCAAAGGTTTATGTACCAAATTTTATTTTTGTTGCTGTTGTTGTTGGTGTTCTTTTTTTTTATTTTTTGTTGTATACCTGCAAGTCTCTCATCAATCGTTTGATTGTTTGTAATTATTATAAATTCTAAAATTTGTTGGGCCACAAACATAATAAATTCCGGGGGAAGTAATAACAAGACAAGATGCATATCAATTGATTTTACCCATTATGGAATCCCCCAACTAGTGCATATTGTCGGCATGAAATTTTCTCTCGAATGCCAAAATGTTACAATAAATACCGAATAGTGTATATAAACACGATGGAAGTGTGATGTGGGACCGCAAATATATGTATATATACATATATATACTATACATTATGTATACACACACACACACACATTTGCCTAGGCACCAAACAACCGTTTTCCTCCATAGCCACGCAATTGACACAGCTCTCTTTCTTTCTCTCTGTCACTCTTTCACTCTTTCCCTCCTTCCCTCTTCCTCTGTTCCTTTCCCTCGTTCTCTCCGTCTCTATCATCCTCACTTCACATTATATATATATATACTTTCATACTACATTCGTGGCATTAGTTTATAATGTGTGCACTAACTTTAGTTAGTTGAAATATAAAAAAAGAGAAGTTTTTTGAGGATTCTCAAGAATTTTATCAAAGTGCATTCGATCGACATCATCATCGGTCGTATCGAGTGGCAAACGAAATTTTCTAAATTCATACATCAAATGTCCGTCGATACAATATCCAATCAATAGAGAGTTTTCTCTCTCTCTCTCTCTCTCTCTCTCTCTCTCTCTCTCTCTCTCTCTATCCCTCTTTGGTAATGGAAACGAGTCAAAATGAAATCGAAAAGTCCAACATTCCAAGAGTTCGATGGCAACCGAACACTTTTAATTCTTGGCATAGGCACATCACATACACCATCACCGATGAAACGCGTTCATGTATGGTGTACATTTTGTTACCACGTTGCCCATTTTGCGTTCGGATCCAATAATTGATCCCAAAGATTGAGATTGGAAAAACTTGAACTTTTTCTTTCTCGCCAATGAAGCGATGGTAACATTTTCAGAGTATACCGCATTCGGTTTTAATGGGACAAGATGTTGAACACGATGATGATGATGAAGAAGAAGAAGAAGAAGACAAAATGATGAAGATATAGACAACGATGCGAAAAATCAGCTATTGTGAAAATTCCATCGTTTCGTCATGCAGCATGAATACATATAACATTCACAAAGCCCTGCACACACACACAACAAGAGGCACAAACTCACACCAAATTGCGCGGCTATGCAAGTCGCTATTAATGTTAAACATTTAAACAGTTATGTTATATAATCTTCTTCTATGTACTATGATAATTGTTACAAATTCCATATATGGCCCCATTTACTGCAAGAAAAAAGAAGAAACCGTTTACGGGAGGAAGAGGACGGTGGCATTGCGTTAATCATGATTGCAATTGTACCAATAGTGGGTAAAGAAAACCCTTTTCATACTCAAATTAACAATCAAAATCATTTCAATGCCTTCTTCCCCATTTCCCTTCAGACGCATAGGAATAGTATTTCAAGCTTAAATCACACCATCGCTTGCAATCTGTGGAAAATCTTTCGCTTCGAATATTTTAAAATTGACTATGTACACAAGAAGAGAAAGAAGAAGAAGAAAGTCTTATCATGCATTTCTTTGCCCCTTGAATTTAAAACTTCGATAAGGATGACCATCAGCATATGGGATGCGACAAACAAAATAACATGATAATTTCATATTCACAAGGGGAGAGAAGGTTCCGGAAATATTACATCGAAAATCATATAATACGAATCCTAGTAACCTTGACAAGTGGTTGAGCTCATTTCGAATTAGTATCGGCAATTCTAAATTGATTTTGGGATCTGATCAGAAAAAAGACTTGGTTTTTTTTTGTACTATTTCCTCTTTCTGAAATATGTGTTTCAAAAGTGAAGTGCACGCATCGCCCTTTTTCTTGTCAGTGCCGAAAATGTTGTGCCTAATCAAATCAACCCTAAATAAGTCTGACTAGATTATGCTCACCGATCCTTAATTGAAGAGTCTTGATGTCTATTCGTCGTCTTCTTCCTCTTCTTCGTCTTCAATCTGGAATGATAGTTTACTTTTGCTCACTTCAGGCTTCGAAGGGCGTTTCTTTTCTTTTTTATTCGATTTTGTTTCACTGGCGGTGGCAGTGGCAGTGGTGGATGCAGTGGGTTTTTCCGATTTCTTTGACTTGAATACGACGCGTTGACTTAAATCGGCCCGTGTCTCGTTCTCCTCTGTAAAATGGAAATGCATTTCGATAATAAATGAAAGACTATAGTATACACTGGATTAACGGCTAAATTGTATAATTCGTTTGTGGCCCGGCAAAAATATTTACTTATAACACGTGCTTGCAAACACAAATTTCGCTTACATTTTAATTCCGTTGAGTGTAGACGGAATTAATTTTGTAAACAAAACCGAAATACATGCACGCACAAAGCGAATGACTGTATATATTATGAATTCGGAATTACACACAGACCGCGACCGTGTATTCATGTGTGTATTCCATCGAATGTGCAGGCAAACTGTCAAATTGTGTACTGTGTGTTGGTTACACCTCAACGCACTGACGGACGGACTGAAACAAACACATCGTCGCCAATCGGTTGAACCGGTAATATTTCGATAGCTTCCATGGCATTTGGGCGCTTCGTGTTTAGCTATAATGTTGATGCGCGTTTCTGGTAGTTTACGTTGGGATTTCATACCAGAACACAATTTTTTTTCTTCGAAAATTAAATTGAATTTTTTCGCCCAATTTTACGCACCTTTTTCAATTCTTTTTTGTTCAGCTTCGGCTTCTTCTGCAGTCAAATCGCCTTTTTTCACAACAACAACCTGCGGTGCCTCTTCTTCGTAATCAGACCGATCGCTCTCGCTGTCCACATCCAATCTTTGACGCTGTAATTTTCATTCGATTTGATAAAATTGAAGTAAATAGCAAATTTGTCTTTATTTTTTTTACCTTCGTATCAATATCAGGTCCACTATTATAGCCGATTTGTGCTTTTAATTGTTGCAAAAATTTTGGATCAGCTGGCTTAACATACGATACAGTATTTCGCTTAGACATTATTCATTTCTTTTTCTCCGGCTCTCAAATGTTATTTACTTGAATTTATCGATAGAGAAAAAAAAAACATGCACAAGATTAAAATAAAAACAACAAATTTACGAGATAGGCTTCGGCACACTGTCACAATACTATGACCGAACAAACAAATCCTACTGTGACAATGACAGTTGGACATTGACAGTTCCGAACGAAATAAAACTTCAAAACCGGTAAAATGAAAGCGTACGTTAACAATATATGTTTATTTGATAGTGACAAAATGCCATTTCCTAGTTTTCTACTACATTTTTACGGATATTAAGATGGATATTAAGACAGTCATATTCTGTTTTTGGTTCTGATATACGAAAGAATTTAGCTTAAAAAATCTATAAGAAAAAAAGTTCAATTCAATGCAAATCTCAAACTGCACGCATATTTTTTAGAAACGACGATTTCCATAACCGCCTCTTCCTCGGTTGAAACCTCCTCCGCGATTGAATCCACCGCCACCGAAACGGTTGCCACTGCCGAAGCCGCGATTATCACCACCACCGCTTGAGCCTTGGCTATTGAAGCCACCACCTTGGTTGAAACCACCACCTTGGTTGAAACCACCACCTTGGTTGAAACCACCACCTTGAAAGCCACTTCCGCCATATGGACGTTTATTTGGACCTCCCGAAAATGAATTGCCACCTGCCCCGAAGAGACGTGGCATACCGGCTCTGCCATCTTGCGGTGATGTCCCTGTTTCGCGAGTAATTTCATAGTCACCCGTCTCCAGAACACACAACTCTTTTACAACAGAGACCAAATTCGCTATACTTGGTTCGAGGTTTAGCACATCGTCGGGCGATTCGGACGTAGAAATGATGAGATTCTCAATGGCCGGACGGAGAGCAGTAATAAGTGATGCATGGTATGGGTCCATTTCAAAGTTCAACCAATTGTCCAGTCGAACGGTTTTCTCGTCAACGGCATCCACTTTACGTGATCCAAACAATAGCAAATGCAATGGGGCAACCATTGTCATTTGTTTGCATGAAACGGCACGAGTTCGGATCTTTTCACCGAATATGAAGAACGGATATGGGAATTTCACTTGAAGATTACTGCAATTGACCGATGTTTTGTGAATGAGCGCCGCCTTCGATTCGGTTGTTAGTACTTTGCGCTTTTCCTTGTGATAGCACACATTTGGATACAATCCAGTGCACAACAATCCAATGGCTAAATCCAGTGTTGGGTCTGGATTATTCTGGTCGATACGCGCTTTGATCAAACAATCCTCTGGGAAACCGGTTTGCATCAATAAATCGATCAATTGACGCTTAGCCTCATACAATACACGCATCGTTGGTAATTGTAGTCCTTTCCATTCGCAGAAGCGAATCTCTTCATCTTCACCTTTGTAGCGAGCATTTTGCCACATGTCAAATGCGACCATCATGGCTATGTGATCGGAAAAACGACGACCACCCAATGCTTTTTGATGGTTACTCAAACGACGTTGTCCCAATTCTAAGGTAAAAATCTCCGAAAATGTACTGGAGTATGCGGCGAGCGATGACAATGTGTCACCAACTCCAAACACACATCCCAATACCATCATTTTGCCCAGCCGTGGTTCGATTGGTAGACGTGCCAAAATACGTCCGAGTGGCGTGAGATTGTCTTGCGGATCCAAACACTTCAATTCACGAAGCACAACTTCAGCTTCAATGACGGCATCGAGCGGTGGTGGTTCAATGGCTTTCGACAAAAACTTCTCAATTTCACCCAGTCTTAAGAGCTGCAAGAAAATAATGTTGTGTTAATAAACGAAATTCGCTGGTTTGCTTTTATGTTCTTTTCTCCTTACCTTGATACTGAGAGCCAACTCATGCAATGGCGTTCGGAACATTTCGGGTGTCAAGTGTTCTTCCAAGTTTTCAAATCTTGCTTTTGAGCATAGCGTGAAGCAAATACCCGGTCTCACACGACCAGCACGACCTTTTCCTGTGATTATCAAAATGAAATTTGATTTAATAAGCATTCATTTTATTCGCAGCATTCATTTTTTGTCAAACTTACTCTGCTCCAAATTGGTGCGACTTGCCCAAACGGTTGCGTAGCTCGTCATGTTATTGTGTGATGTGAATAGCTTAATTCGCGCCTTGCAAATGTCAATCACATAAACGATGTCATCGATAGTGATTGATGTTTCGGCAATGTTGGTCGACAGAATGATTTTTCGCACTCCTGGTGGAACGGGAGCAAATACCTTGCGTTGGTCTTCACGTGGCACTTGTGAATGACACGGCAAAATAACATAGTTCGGGCCCGAGAAATCTTTGCTGTTTTGCAAGTGTTTCATGAGAGCAAAAATTAAATTCCATCCGGGTAAAAAGACAAGCACTGCGCCGGGAACATTCTTGTTTCTAATGTACAACAGCAATGATTCAATCAATTCGAAATTGACTTCGGATTCGTTGAGCTGAGCCATAGTTTGAATGGTTTGTTGCGAGTAATTGCCACGAACGCATTTATTCAGATTTTCTTCGGTATCATTAGCCGGCAATCCCATTTCCGATTCTTCGTCACGTTTGCGTTTTCGACTCTCGGGCGACGGTACAAATTGTGTCAATTCAATGCAATCTTCCAAAAAGTATTGGTCAACTGGATGAGCACGGCCTTCGATTTCAATAACTGGACAATTGCCAAAGTACGAAGAAAAAAGTGATGTATCGATGGTGGCCGACATCAGAATCACACGAAGATCTGGATATGTGTGTATCATGTCACGCAAAACGACAAGCAAAAAGTCGCTGTTCACATCACGTTCGTGAATTTCATCGACGATAACGTGCGAAACACCACGAAGACCAGACTCGAGTTTGCGCAACAGCACACCAATCGTACAGAACATAATCGAGCCGAATGGACGCGGCAATTGCGTTTCAAATCGCACCGAATAACCAACCGATTCGCCAATAGCTTCATTTCGTTCGGCTGCAATACGTTCAGACACACTGATGGCGCTGATACGCCGCGGTTGTGTCACAGCAATATTACAATAGGCTCCCTGCCCCGAATTGATGTAATCTTCCAAAATGAATTGAGCAATTTGCGTGGTTTTACCACAACCGGTGTTACCGCGAATAATAATGACCGGTTTATCGTTGACCAGTTCCATGATGTCATTCCGACGATCGGACACAGGGAGTTTACGTCGAAATTCCAACATGTCCATAAGGATATTATCGTTTTGACAGCGATCACGGTAGTCTTTCAACAAATCGTCGCTCAATTGGTCCAAATCGGCTGTTGCCAAATATCCTTCGTCGATATTGCATGCTGTCCATGGGTTCCAATTTTGTTGCGGTGGCGACCAAGAAATCACCGACGACATTTGTGGCACACGATTCGGATCGGGCTTTATTTCTTCAGATGGAAGCTAAAGTTGCAAGATTTTTTTACTTTTTTAATATTTTGCATACATAATTTGGCCAGAATTCGACTGAAAGTAGACATGTGAACATACCAAAAGATTGATTTCTTTGTTATCGTTCATTGGAGCTCTATTCAAATCGATCGGTACGATATTAAGCTGCTGCAAGCACTCCTCAATGCGAGACACCATATCAGGTGCAATTGCCACCGGATACGATGGCACTTGATCCTCGGCTCTGTTTTAATTTGAAATATTTTCCATTACTTTTCATTCGTTTACATTTTAAATATTCTTTTTATAACATTGCTACCAAATCATTGTGTTTTGTTCATTGTTTTGACAGAGTGCACTTACGATTTAGTTTTGATTGTTCCCGAGAATGGTTCGATAACACCCAAATGGAACAGTTGACGTACCAACGACAGAGCACATGAACGACTCGCTGACTGCTTATTAGAGCCGGTTTCTCGACCGGTGATTGCACGATTCAGTTGCTTCACAAAGAATTTCATTTCAGCCATGTAGCTTCTGTACTTGCAGAATGTTTATAAATTAAATTTAGAATTACAATCACATTGCAAATTCGATAGAATCAATTTTTTTGTTTCAAATTGTTATTGAACCTACCGTTTTAATATCTGTGTGAATCAGTAATCATATATAATTTTATTTTAATAGACTTTCAATGCGCTGCTGTCAACATGAATGATGGGTTTTTCGAGCCGATCATGCATTTTATGAATAAACAAGTGGCTAAAATGTAACAATAATTGAATCTATTAATCCCAATCGTTAAAAATTGTATGGTTCTCGATGAAGAATTGGTTCGCTGAGTTTGCTGCACACGCAAACGCATTCACACAATTGCATTATTTTCATTGAATAATTCGAGCATGAAACATTATTATTATACAAATTGGTACTACATATTCTTCTCTTACTCTTTAGACCAAAAATGCTGATTCTGTGAACCGTGAATTGTGTGCAATTGTGCAGAAACTCGCAGCAATAGAGGAATGGGAAAACTATTCGATTGGAATCAATAGACGCAATATTGTCGATGGCACAAACATATTTTCGGTTGACCTTTACCGTTGGACATATCATCTCTTCCAAAAGCAAAAGCCATTCCAAATCAGTGGATTTTTGTTTTGTTCTAGTTTTTCTTTCTGTTTCTTTTCTAAAATATTTTAGCAGCGCATCAAATTTCCAATAAAATAAATCAAAACCACACCATAAAAAACAACAAATATCGAAATGAAACAAACATAAAAAAGAAAATGCGGTAAATATTTCTTTTCACTTTTGTAACACACAAATTACCTCGAATGATCTGGCCCAACGGCCGTATATTTATAGTCAGTTTGGATTTTATGCATTTGCATAAACTGATTGAGCTTGGCCTTTGCATTTTCAAGTGTCCAATTGCCATGGATGGAAGCATTTACATCCAATGATTCAGCCTCTTCCATTTTGATTTGCTGTTGAGCATTTTGCTGAGCACGGTCAACAAAACTTTGACCACCGCCAGAATGATTCATACCACGATAGGCTTGACCAACATCTTCAGGCCCTTGACCAGACTGTAACATACATTTCAATCATTTGTAGATCCAAAAAAAAAAGACAAACCGAACATTCGCAAAAATAATACAAACTTCAAAAACGGGCACATTTTCAGCGATGACACGAGCTGGCAACGCTCCACCTTGTTCGATTGCATTAGCTGGCACTTCGCTAGCTTCGATTCGCCCAGTTCGAACTAGAAAGTTGATAAAATCACGGGCAGCATTCTTCTCCGCATCTTTTTTATTCGTCGAATTTCCAGCACCGACATAAGCAACGCCATTCACTCGAGCTTCGCACAAGAATCGCAAACGATGCTTCGGTCCTAATGAATAATTAATGCATTTCGGAATTCATTTTCTCCAAACTCAATGCACTATGGCAGATAATATTTACCAGTGGGTCTTGTTTCAAAAATTGGCTCCAACTTCTGTTTGCCACACCATTCGTGGAAAAATGCCTTAACGTCACTCATTACGATAGTCGTCAAATGATTTAGTTTGGTTGAAATGAACAAACAATTGGTAAATTTTCGGAAAAATTGATAAATAAACGCAACGCGACCAGAAACACTGCTGTAATGATGCTATGGAAAATCAATAACTTAGCTGTAGACAGTCGGTAGTAGTGTTGTCGTTCTGACAGACGCCTCGTATTAGTGTGGCCTGATCGACTGTTTTTTATTTGTTTACGGTTCAATTTTTGGAAGCATTAGAATCTCCTAATTTACAACGATGATTCATATCCAATCAATACTTACATTTCGAAAAATTCTTGATGATTTCATAAAGTGATTGAATACAACTGAAAAGTAATAAAATTGAAAACGGAATATTTGCATGGTGATGTTTATTTTTGTAGGAAAAAAAAGGAGTTATACCTATGAACACAATAATCTTCTTCTTACTTGAAAATTCTATGATTTGCATTGTTTTAGAAATTGTTTTTGGAAATGGAATTTTTCGTGTGTACAACCATTCGCAATTGCAAGTATGTAAATTGAACAAAAATGGAATCTATTGCTCTGTTGTTGTTAACCCTGACATATAATTCATCACTTTTGTAAATCTCGACTTATCTTTGATTTTAATTATACCATTACCTAACAAATGACCAATCATCAGATCACGTACCCCGGGAAAAGATCTATTTGTTCGGTAATATTCAAAGTTTTTCTGGAGATGGCATATGGCCGAGTTCAAATCTTCTTCTTTTTGAATGGTGCCGCCATGATTGAATGCTTCCACCATGTATTCCAAATTACCGATGATGTTTTCGGCAAGTGTTCGGCTCGAAGCCTGTCAGGATAAACACAAGTGATGATTCCAATTATTGTATTTAATTGAATTATAAATAATAAACTTACCGACAACAATGGCAAGACCGTTACTTTGAAACTTTGAAAATCGTTTGGCTTTAACCTTTGAAATACTCCAAACATCTCTTGGCTGCTTAGCGATGAACCATCCGATGATTCAAATAGAATTTGTCGACGAATGGTGGATGTTTTCGCAGCACTTAGATCTTTGTTCTTCGTCATTGCGCACACTAAAACACTTGCAAGATTTTTTCTGTCCTGTGGCGATCCCTTCATCATGACATCACTAACTTCATGAAACTTATCCTTTAAAACGTCTGCTATTTTCGATGGCGATGATTCAAACGAAGTGCTCTGTTGAGGGAAGTGAAATTGTTGATTTTGTGATTGTTCTTGTTGCGACTGAGAAGTTGATGGCTGCTGTTGCTGCTGAAATTATGTAAGAGAGAAAAATAGAATAAATCGATAGAGAACTTTATTCGTTTCACGCACATTTCATCTTCATATGGCATTAGAATTCACTAGAACCTACCATTTGTGACGAAATTGACATTTGTGGCTGCTGCTGCTGCTGCTGGGCATAGTGTAATTGGTGATGGTGTGATAGTTGCTGTTGTGGCTGAGAATGTGATTGATGCGCGTAACTGTTGTATCCCATCGACCCATATACACCGCTTGTTGGATCGATATCCGCAACGGAACCAATCTTTCGCGGTTGACTATTGTTAACTGAAACAAATGCAAAGCGGTTTATTTGAAAATGTAATTTGCTAAAGAATTGTGTACGGTATCGTATCGTATCGTATACACGGTTCACAGAAACAGAGCTAAGTAAAATATACACATTTAGCGTGCAAGCATATGCACACAGTACACAAATGGCACTCGCAATTTATGACCGAAAAAGCTTGAATTTTTTATTCGACTGTGTCCGCAATTTCAACAAACATTAAGCATACGAAGAACGGAAAAGTAATTGCAAAATTGAAAATGATGTCCGTACGAATGATGAATATTTCAAACAATGAGGACGTTGGACGTTGATAATATGTCGAAGTGTGTATCGACAAGCGGATGGTTGCAATAATTCGTTGCATTATTCAGTAATGTGTATGTGTTCTGTGCGTATGCATATGCGAATGTATGTGTATTTAGATGGATATTCAAATCTTGGCAAATTTGCCGAAATGACTTCGGGTA